TTATTTATTATATTTTATTTTATTTTTTTTTTTTTTGTTATCAATATAGCAGTATAGTAGATCATATTTTATTTATTAAATTTGCTGCTGTCAAAAAGCTTAATAATTTGGCAATATTTTCTTGGTTGTCCCCTAATATTTCAAAACTACTACTACTACTACTGTATGTCTTTATTCTTTAACATATATACAAAGTTTACAAATTGGCAGTATATATTACAGAAAGACATTCCTCATGGTTTAAAACCGTATGAGGTAGTATAGTAATATATCAATAAAAATTAATAATATACTAATACAATTTTTTAAGTCAGAGTAAAATATGTTTTGTTGTTATTTCATTGCATGTTCCGCATACAGGCGGAGGGTCACGGACCACTATGTGACCCTTGGTGATCCGGCAGTGTCCTATTCTCAACCTATTCGATACAACCTCCTCTTCAATATAAATGATGGCCATGGCTGCGTGGTAGACTTCATTTCAGGAAGCGTTTGTAACCGAATGCCAGGTTTGTGGCAATGTAAATATATTGTCTTCCTAAAGACCGCAATGAGGTCATCCTTGCTTATCTCCACAACAAGGTTTCCATCTCCTCTGTGGCAGCCATATCTGCTCTCTCCTTGCAAGGGATACCCGAATGACCAGGAATCCAGAGAAAAAATACTCTTTTCCCTTGCTGCTCAAGACGTCTCAATACCATAGATACCATAGGGTTATTGCTGAAAGGATGATTAAATGTTTGCAGGGCAGCTATGGGGTGAAAGCAAATAACCATTATTGAATCTGGATGGATAATGTTGAGGTATTTATTTATGGTTACCATTTCGGCGCTCTAGTTGCTTGCTAGAGGATTTAGTGAAAATAAATCTTTTCTTTTTCCCAAATACTTGCAGCATCAACCCCCCTGACATTCCTGGAACCATCTGTATATACATCTGTCCCTGAGGGCTTTTTGATTTTTAGAAGCTCCTGTTTATATATGGTCAGGAGTGGTGGTTTTATTATATTTCGCCACTGATAGTAGTTTAGGGTCGGGGGATAGCCAGGGGGATAATCGATTTGGTTTCTTTTTGGATTGGGGCACTGAAAACTGCATAACCTGTAGGATACAAATACAATCGGGCAAAGAAAATTGTAGATTTGGTGACCTGATAATTAGAATGAGAATTAGTGTTAGAAAAGAGATTATTTAGAGGGTTAGAGTTATAATCCTAGCATAGTATTTCAAGTCCACAAATTACGTCGAAAGTTTAGAGAAGCTACCAGTGTCGACATGGAGGCTAGAGGACTGGGCCGAAAAGCCCCAGTAACAATCCTCAACCCTATGTTTTGAAATGGATCAATGATGCCGATTTGCTTTTTTATGGCAGAGTTATATACATTGCATCCATAGTACAAGCGTGACCGTACTACGTCATTATATAGGGGTCATTAGTCCTTTACGATCATCACCCATGAACAAGAGCTGGTAATTCTTACGTTTAAAAATTGACAAGAACCGTAACTGGCAGTTTTTACAGCTTTTGTGATCTTACCGGCCACCAGCTCAAGGATGGGTGGATGTCCTTCCTTTGGTGATGTAGGTCTACGCACTACGGTCTGAGATCTGAAGGTCTCAGCAGCTGAGATGCTTTATGGTGTTTGCCCGATCAATTTCTACAACCAACGCCTCCGCTGGACGCTGTCAGTTTGCGAAGGATCTCCAGGAAGCTAATATTAAGTGCTCAAATTTTTACAATTCCTAAGCGACTTAAGCTTATATGTTTCAAAGTTCAAAAGTCAATTTTTTGCATTTAACAAACATTCTGTAAGCAAAGTAGGTCAGAAAATAGTCAAAACTTGGATTTGACCTCATTGTCGTGATTCTAGTGTTATAAAACGTTTAGATTGAAGCTTTCGAAGAAATCAGTGGAAATTAATTGTTTGATTGATAATTTTAACGAGCTTCTGCGTGATTGCCATTCCTAGTGCAAGCTTTAACATTTTTCTCCAAAGCTAGTGGACCGATTTTTATAGTTGATAATTCGTTTTAAAGAAATTGTCAAGTGCATTTTGTAACAGTATCAGATCTTAAAATCGGACTATTATTACTATTTAAAAAAGAAAAAAAACGAGGTTAATTTCTCGCAAATAATTTTCTTATTTTTTATATTACCCCGCCGTACCTTAGAGAGACCCTATACCAGCGGACCACGACAAACTAAAAACTGGGAATGTGAAACTTAGGAGGAGGCTTTGAGTCTTCTTCGGGCCTTGCCTTATNTATATATATATATATATATATATACATACATCTTCCTATCAACTTGGCGTCCCCTCGAAGAAATTTTACATTTAAACCGGTATCCAGGGCAAAACAGCGTCAGTATATGGACGCCGATTCGCCGGGCCAGTGCTTTCGGCTCATCATCATCAGAACAGCACAATATACCAATTTTCGAATGGACGTCCAGATTGCGCTTTGTGCCAATAGTTGAATATTAATAGTTCACACAAATTCAAGCTGAACGCCACCGTTGTTTTCGTATATTTTAAAGAATGTTTTAGTCTTACACTTCTCAGTGGGTTCGGCGTCCGATTTTACCACGGCGTATATTTTAATCGTTCACGTTTCAGTGGATTGAGCGTCCGATTTTACTACATTACCAGGAAACCCCTTCTATTGCTTTTCCTTGTTTCGGAACGTCGCCTGCCGGTAGTTTTATGGGAATTAGTTTTATTTTTGTCCCAGATGGACCATCCATGGATGGATGTCAGACCTGACAAAATGGAAACAAACATAAATCAAGCATTCGATTTAAGATATTATAATTTAGGGCCATCACGTCATTTTCTTTCTTTGCAAAAACTTATTTGCCCCCAAAAATTCTCCACCATTTTAGCTCCCTATTTCTCTACCTCACATAAAATGATATAACAACAATTATACAATTATATATATATATATATGTATGTATGTATATGTATATACATATGCGCTCCATATTTGACGGCCAAGAATTTTCATGTCTCGAGTGCCTGGAAGAGGTTTTGGTTCTGAACAAGTCCGCTTTCAAAACGTCCACAAGAGATAATTTTGTGTCAAAACGTCATCATCCGTACCGCATTCGGGGGCATAAAGGGCTTTTGAATTGAAAGAGGTATGCTAAGAAGTTGCTATGACCGGTCAAGTTTTGCGTGGCCAAGAAATCCCTAGACACCCAGGCTCGTGCCCTTTCCTCGTTGTTTGTAAAGTATTCGTAGGTCAGTCTTCCTTTAGTGCTGCTTTCCCATTTATTTTGCCATGCAGTGTCCTTGTCTCTAACCAGATAAAAAAAACCTTTGGCTTTTAATACCAGATTATCTTGGGATATTTATTTATGTTTTGTTGCTAAATGGATTAATGGGACTTTAAGGTCTTGGTTGTAATGAAAAAATCAGTGTCACGAGCGTGATTCGAACCCACGACCTTCGGCTAAATACGCCGCTTACCACTTGAGCTATTGTCACTTCGATCCACTAGGACACCATCTCAACCTTTCGAATTTTCCCTCCTTTTTTGCCATTTTTCATTTCAACCAAGACCTTACATAAAAAGGATAATTAATCGAAAGAAATATTTTTTATATTTTATTTAGCGAGAAGAGGGGGAATAAGTCAATAAGTCCCTTCCACGGTCCACCTCCTTCGGGCTTTCAGGGGTGAAGCTTTCAACTATTTTTTGCACAATCAGCGAATTGATCAAACTATGATCTTGTTGCTTTCTCTTTTTCTACTCTTTTTTATACTTTTCCTTTATACCTACTTCTCTCCTTCATTCATATTTAGCTATGTCAATATGACACAAATTTTGTTTATTATTATTTCTTGCATTATACTTTGTAACTGGCAAAATGGAGGAAAAATTCAAAAGGTGGGGTTGAGATGGGAAGTTAGTGTCCGAGTGGATCGAGGTCACGATAGCTCAAGTGGTAGAGTAGCGGCGTATCTAGCCGAAGATCGTGGGTTCGAATCCCGTTCGTGCCATTCACTTTTTTATCTCAACTAAAAACCTTAATTAATTGAAAGATACTTTGTTTTATATTTAATTATTTTATATTTTTCTACTCAGTATAAAGGAGCTAAACCTTATTGTGAATTTTTTTAATAAATATAAATATATTTAAATTTTTATTTTTACATATTTCAAAGCGTTCCAATGTGGACTAGGCTTAAATTGTTTTGGCCGGAAATGTCCGTGAATGCTTCCCACGTTTTAGTGTTCTTTGCTTGTGGTATTTAAGTTTATGAAAGAAAATAAACGGATTTCGATAAGTGGTTATCGCGAAAAGAGTGACAGATTCTCAGAACAAAGGGTAAAAAAGGAAGTCGGACAAATAAAAAAAGGAAGAAAAAAAAGTCAAAGGAGAGGGTAAATGACGCCGTCTGGCGTCTGGTGCCCCGTTTCAAACTTCAGTCCACCGCGGTGACTGGTGACTTGGGCGGGTGAAGATCCTTCTTCCTACCTAGCCCGACTTTCTTTTTCCGCGAAAAACCGCAAACCAAGAGGTACATTTGTCCAATAAAATGCCTCAAATCGTGGGACGTAGTGAGCCAGTTTTGGAATGCTCGTTTTGATAAATGAATTAATTTTCGGACCTCCTCCTACCACCATGAAGACCGTCGAAGGGAAAATTGTACTTTTGGGTTCACAAGGTAATTTTTTTTTGTTCTGTTTTCTTTTCTAATGAGAAAAAACGACAAAACTCCGGTTAAATTTTGTGGTGCAAGCTGGTTCGAGGGTGGATAAAATCATGATGAATTGATCTACACGGATTAACATGTTACGTAATACCAACACATGCCGGTTCAATCCTGCATTTTCCGTCCTTCAATACACTTTTCAAACGCAGAAAAAATTATTTGTTTGTCTTTTCCATTGTTTCGTCGTATTTTTTCCGTTCTAATAACCAAATTGTTTGTTTGCTTTTAACATTCTTTCGTCGTATTTTTTCTGTTCTAATAGCCAAACTGTGCTAAATAGTTCATGATATTTAATCTATTTCGATTTTTTTTTTAAAATAATCTGCTGGGATTCGAACCCACGGTCTTCGTTCTTTTTTTCTCAAATTACTCGTTTAAAAATCTATACACTGACGGACAAAATTAACGCACCACCCTTAAATTTGTGCATGTTGTGTCGAGAGTGCCAGTGAGATTTTGCTATTTTGTGTTTATATACGTTGGATTTTGAAGGGGTGGGTAAAGATGTCGGTATAGAAAAGACATTTTTGTATAAGGCGTCGGCTTCTTTGAGGTGAAAAGACACGCAAGAATGGCACAATTACACAGAAGACAAACACTTTAAGTGAGTAGAAATGCTTTGATTGAATATAAAAAATATATTTTGCATTGTATAAATTCACTTTTCCACATCCAAAATGTAACTGTTATATGTAAACAATGTTTGTAAATCCCAGGCTCTGAAGATGATCTCAATAAAGATCGAAACGTCGCACGATAAAGAAAATGTTTTTCTGAAACTACATCACACCAGACCGCATCTCACGATTTCAAAATAAATATTTTCTTTATCGTGCAAACGTTTCGATCTTTATTGAGATCATCTTCAGGGCCTGGGATGTACAAACATTGTTTACATTTAATAAAAACATGTAGGATGTGGAAAAAAGAGAATTTATACAATGCAAACAAATATTTTTTTATATTCAATCAAGGAACACAGAAAACAAACACTTTGAGTGAGTAAAAATACTTAGATTGAATATAAAAAAATATTTTTTACATCACACAGACCGCATCTCATGATTTCTGAATAATCATCGACTAACAGTCACTAATCACCACACATTAATTTTGAAAATGTGAATCAAGAAATCAAAAAAAAATTAACCAAAATAATTTTCAACAGCAACATCGATAATTTTTTCTGTAATATTAAATCTTTTCCTACCATAATCTTGTTCTAAACTTTTAAGTTTAATTTTAATTCATATCATTTATACATTACACTGATAATCTGTAATTACTCTAAATTTAATTTCATAATTTGAAATAATAATCATATATGTATTTTATTGCATTGTGTAAATGTTACATATATTAATTAACAGTCATATTTTTATTTAGATTTATTATGCTATTCTGTTTTTATTATTTGATTGTAATTTAGGTATAAATTTGCCTACCATGAGTGGTCCACTGCGCTAACCTTGATGAGATTTTTGCTCACAGTTCTTTTTTAATTAATAATACTACATTTTTTTTAATCTTTTTGTTTTATTATTATTAATAGTAAACATTAATATTGGATTTTACTTAATTATTTCTGACTTAGTGTATAATCGGGCACAAATGCAATCATAATTTTTATAAGTTCTTCTTCAATATATTTTTAGTTTAAATAGAAAAATAAATATATTATGTATCTGACTATTATTGCTATAGTATTATGATTAATTTTTTCTATTAACATGAAATGTAGAATAGATTATAGGTTTTTTTTTTTTTTTTTTTTTTTTTTTTTTTAATTAGAGCAATTTACTCTTTATTTTTCCTCTGTACCAACAACAGTTTTTGTTCTTAGTCGAAACAGTTCATTTACTAATGGCATATTTTAAAAATAAAATGAATAAAACGTAAAATAAAATAAAGTGAGAAGTAGTGTAGTTCACTACACTTAAGAAACTAATTCTTGAATGAAGACAGAAGAGGATGACACAGGTGGAAGCCTAGGGATTAAATTTTTTGATGCTTTCGTTATGATTATAGTTTTATTGAGTTGGGATTTTAGAATAACATTGAATTGTTAACACCTCTACGTTTAATGTATTCTTGTGAAAATGAAGTTTTTTACTAATTAACTTAGCGGTAAAGGGGATACTTGGTTAGAAAGATATTCCAGTATTTCAACTCTGGTTTCTTACCCAAGTAAGATACCCGCAATTCTGAGAGAAGAGAGCAGACTCCCAAATTTTCCAAAATTACCGCTAATTTCCTTTGCTCGGCACGCCTGGAGAGTGAGATACGAGTGGCTTTCAGATATGCAATAATTGTTGTCCCTGTACGTATACTTTTACTGCTTTGTTTTTTAGTATTCTATCAGTTCTCAAAAGGTAATTTGTTTTTATTTAATTCTTTTTGTTTTCTTCTTTTTTCTCATATTTCCATCTATTATGATTCATACACCTGCTATATGTTAATTTTCTCTTTGAATTTTTTTATTTTGTTTTAATATTTCTGTATTTGTAAGCTTTTAAGCAGTAAACTCAGCAGACGGCTATTAGCCATGCTTATTATACTTTGTATCAGCATTTTTTTTTTTTAATCAATTCTAATAAAGTATTGTGTATTGTATTGTATTGTACTAATTAACTTTAGTGTGTTAGGTTGACGGTGTATATTGATGTATGTAATATGTATTAGTATCTTCTCTTTCTCATTTACCTCAGCAACAACCTCATACAGATGTGTATTCAAATCCATATTGCTTTGATACTTTTGTATATAAATCTTTACTTGTAAATAAAAAGTATTTTTTATTTTATTATCTAAAAGTTATATTGTTGCAGGTGTTGGAAAAACATCCATGGTTGTCAGGTATTTGGGAAAAATGTTCAGCCACCACATAAGTCCCACAATAGGAGCGTCATTTTTCACTTGTAACATAAACCTCGGTGACACCAAGGTCAAATTGCAAGTAAGCTTTTATAATTAATTCCAAGTAAACAGTAAATACCCTTGTGTTAAAAGGTTTGGGACACTGCTGGTCAAGAACGGTTCAGATCCATGGCGCCCATGTATTACAGAAACGCCAATGCTGCTCTTTTGGTCTACGATATAACTCAGATGTCTACTTTCAACTCGATAAAATCATGGGTTAAAGGTGAGTCATTAACACGTATGATGATTGGTATGTAGAAACTATTATTTTAGAACTTCAAAGAAACGTCGAGGATCCGATGATCTTGTGCGTTGTCGGTAACAAAACTGATCTTGAATCTCAACGAAAAGTTCCTAAAGAAGAAGCTATCCAATATGCCACTTCAATAGCTGCATGTTACTTCGAGTCATCAGCACTCAATGACACTGGTAATTTAACAATAATTATTTTATTTATTTATATTTGATTATTAATACGATATTTATGTTTATTTTAGGAATTGAGGATATATTTCTCTGCTGTGCCAATGACCTTATAACATTAAACCAAGACCAGTCAGTTTCTTATAATACTAACGTTCAAGAAAAAAATGTTCCAAATGGGAGACCTATATCTCTTCTTTCTGCAACAGAAAAGCGAACATGTTGCTAAGAGTTTTTTTTGTTTTAATTTGACTAAAAGAAAATCACTTTGTTTTATATTATTTTAAAAAACATGTTTTGTATGCATTTTTAAGTGGTGTTGGTGGCTGCAAAGGAACATGGGGAGAGCCTGTAAAGTTCTAGGTTTTAATCTCAATGCTTCAAATTTAAATTAATACTACTTACTAGTACTTTAAAATTGGCTCTTTTAGTGGAGACACTAGAACTTTGGGGGCTTACTGACCTCTACTGTTAACATTCCATTTTTTTTTTTTTTTTTTAGAAGTACTTTTCTGTATCAAATGTATTATAGCAAATACAGTAGAATTTGTTATTAAAACCAATGCCGCACTCAATATTTGACCAATAATTTACTGGACTTATTTACATTCTTTTAAGTTGTGAATAAAATTTTAATCTTGTTTGAAAAGTTTTATGAGTGACCCCGATTTTCTTTTTCATACAAGACTCACAAAAGCCTCCAATTAAACGAACTAGGGGGCTCAAGAATAAATAAATAACATTTAATCAATTAAAAAATCCTTATATGTTTAGAAACCATAATTGGCCATATTAATTATTTTAATTAATTATACTTTTTAATCTAGTCTTGGTTGAGATGAAAAAGTTAGTGTCACAAGTGGCATTTGGACCCTATTGGCCCCTAACCATCCCTTAAACGAACTAGGGGGCTCAAGTCTAATTAAATAAATAAAATTTAATCAATCAAAAAAATCTGTATATGTTTAGTAACCATAATTGGCCATATTAATTATTTTAATTAATTATATTTTTTAATCTGGTCTTGGTTGAGATGAAAAAGTTAGTGTCACAAGTGGCATTTGGACCCTATTGACCCCTAACCATCCCTTAAACGAACTAGGGGTTCAAGGCTAAATAAATAAAAATTTAATCAATTAAAAAATCCTTATATGTTTAGTAACTATAATTGGCCATATTAATTATTTTAAATAATTATACTTTTTAATCTAGTCTTGGTTGAGATGAAAAAGTTAGTGTCACAAGTGGCACCCACGACTTGCGGCCTCAATTCGCCACGACCTATCATGATGACAAGTGGTAAAGCAGCAACATATTAAGCCAAAGGCTGTGTGTTCAAATCCCACTCGCATCAATAACTTTTTCCGTCTCAACAAGACCTTAGGTAAAAAAAAAATATAATTAATTAAAATTTATTTTAGAGTATTAATTTATTTACATCAGCAACGTTCTTACTGATTGAAAATGTCTAAACCATTTTATGTAGACCCACATTAATTATTAACAATAGCAGTCAAAACACTCCGAAATGCCAAAATGCATTTGATAAAGCAAAATGATTGTTAGTGAATAAATTAATAATAAATATCAGATCAACCATATTTTATCTAGGTATGAAGTATTAAAAGATAAGACCAGTAGTTTTTAGAAAAGTACAATTAATTAAGGTTTTTAGTTGAGATGAAAAAAGTTAATGGCACAAGAGGGATTCGAACCCACGACCTTCGGCTTGATACGCCGCTGCTCTACCACCTGAGCTATCGTGACCTCGATCCACTCGGACATCAACTCCCCATCTCAACCCCACCTTATGAGTTTTCCCTCCTTTTGCCATTTTTCAAATGTCGTGTAATCAGTTTGGATTCTCGACGACAATTGAAATGGCGAGGAGAATTGTCGTCGAGAATCCAAACCGATTACACGACATTTGAAAAATGGCAAAAGGAGGGAAAACTCATAAGGTGGGGTTGAGATGGGGAGTTGATGTCCGAGTGGATCGAGGTCACAATAGCTCAGGTGGTCGAGCAGTGGCGTATCAAGCCGAAGGTCGTGGGTTCGAATCCCTCTCGTGCCATTAACTTTTTTCATCTCAACTAAATACCTTAATTAATTGTAATGCTTAATTGGTCAAGCGGACCACGAAATTAGTGAATTTAGAAAAGTACTGAAATCATGCGAGTTTCATTTCGGTATCGCTAATATAGTTTTTGATTTTTTGAAAACAAAAAAAATGAACAACAAAAATCATAGTATTTGTATTTGTTTTGTAAAGCATATGCTCATGAAATGTGCTGCTGATCAGTTGCAGATACAATATTAGTTTGCGTTTTCTTTTTCAAACTCAATAGATCACAGTGCTATAAACGTGGGGCGAATAAACTTCTGTTAAAAAAAAATAAAAATAAATTTCCATGCCCTGATTTCGCTGCAAACAATCCAATTTTATCAATTATTTTCAACAGGTTTTTGGTTTTCAACATGTTTGTATGTATTGTCATATTTTTAACTATCAATATTAAATTTAGTTTATTATAAAAAAATTCAGAATTTAAAACTAAATTATAAGCAAAAGTAATCAAGGAGATTAAAAAAAAATAATTAAATTTAGTATCTGAATTTTGCTTAATACATACATTTCTCACGTATATGTTAACATTATATACACATTATATCAAAGTACAAACAATCTAATAATGTGGGATTATATATATGTATATTTTTTAAAATTTTCTTTTTAAATATATTTTAATTTTATTTACAGAATTATAAGACAACGGGGAATAAATGTTTACATTACAAATAGGTTGTAATAAAATATAAACAACATTTTTATGGGTAAACCTTATCAATAAAAATATGTATAAGTACTGTTTTCAAAACATCTATTTTTATTTTAATGGTTTTTTGTTTGTATTTTTATTTATTCTCCCTTTTTGTTAAGCGACATTGAAGGAATGTGACCCAACTGCAATAATTATTATTTCAAGCACATAATTTTTTGGGGTATTACTATACTACAAGTACTCATAGAGCGAAAGAATAGTTCAGAAAGATTGGCTGCTTTCAAATAGTATAGTTTTTAATTTATAATTTTGTAATGGCTTTTTTAAAAATATCTTACTTTTTAACAACCAGATAAAATATCATTACAAAGAAACTTCTGAAAATGTTTAAATTAAAACGTAAAATTTACAATTTTAAATGCCCCAATTCGTCTGAACTTTTCACCCTATTTATTGTTTTTTTTTTTAAATGTTTATTTGCAACGTGTGTTAAATGTTAAGGTGAGAGCTACTTTATCGTCGTTTAATGCATCTTTTAACCTGCGCCTAAAGAAACCATTCATAGTTCATTTAATCCCATAATTCACATGTAATTTTTTTTTTTCATTTCAAATCATAAAAGATGTTTACAATAGGTTGTATTCTTTTATTTTTAAAAGAAGTACTACATGTTTACATAATTTAGGCCGCCCTGTTTTGTCAAAAATGGAAAAAAAATATATATAAAAAAGTAAAACAAATCGTTTGTGACAAATATTGTTTCTACTATTTTAACTTTGTTATTATAAAACAAAGTTTAGCTTTTCAACTTTTAATTGCCGCATTAGGTACAAAGACAATATTTTCTTATTTCAGTAAATTTAATTCACCTGGCTACACAACTTTTAAAAATAATTATAAAAAATATGTAACTACATAAAATCAATCCCCTTCACCATTTATTGCGTGTCGAATGTAAAGAGAACAGACAAGAGAAAACAAGAAGAAAAAAAGGAAAAAACTTTAATTACCACAATTCATTTAAAAAAGAAATTTATTGTTGTTTGTTACTTTTTTTAAATTTGTTTTACTTTTAGTAAAAGCATAACTTTTAGTTTAGTCCAAGTAGTTTCTTTTACATCATTATTTGTTATATAAGTTAATGTAAAAATAAAAACAATATTTTTGTTAACAAAATAATAGGTATTTCAACACAATAAAATATTTTAACAAAACAGAAGGCTTAATGATGTAAACATACTTTGATGGTAATGGAAAAAAAAGTGAACTTTGTACAAAAATCATGAGGGGTTTTAGTCATGGTTGATACATGCATGGATCACGCCAAGTAACTGTATGTGTCTTTCTGACCCTCCGTTCTTTCTAAGTATTCTTTTTCTATAAGTATATCGATGCATTTCTGAAAAAGAGAACCACCTCCAGGTTAGCACATAGAGTAAAAAAATAAATAAAAGATTCCCAATCGGTACTGATACTTCACCTTTATAATGTGGACTCTCGGCTTGAACCTAGTTGATAATTGATTTAAAACTTCCGCCACTAACTGTTGGTGCTTCAGCTGTTTTCGCATTTTCATTATCCTTACGATTGCCGCCTGAATCAGTAGTTTCCTATCTTCCTCTATATGCTTGTGAGTTGTCTCCTGCTCCAATTTCAATTCTGCCTTCATTGGCATGTTTATATTTACCCTTAGTTTTTTGCTATAAACAGAAGAAAAACACTGAAATAAAATGACAAGAAAATACACTAAAATTATAACTGGAGTTTAGTTTTGAAAAAACCGTAGCTGTTATTAATAGAAAGCCATTATCAACTTAATTACAGAGCTTTAGAAACCTAGGATACAATCTTTTAAGATGATACAACTAGAGATAGTATGTTTAACACATTACATTCAGCATGGCTGAAAGCAAAATAAAGAAATGAATAGAAGCTCATGAACTAAGACTAAAACCACATTGAAATAAACTAATTTATGAAAGGTATTGGTTGAGATAAAAAAGTCAGTGTCACGAGCGGGATTCGAACCCACGACCTTCAGCTACTTACTCTACCACTTGAGCTATCATGACCTCAATCCGTTCGGACACCAACTTCTTATCTCAACCTAACCTCTCGAATTTTCCCTCCTTTTTGTCATTTTTCAAATGTCGTGTAATCTATTTGATTCTTGGTGACAAATGAAATGGCCATGGAGAGTTTTCGTGAAGATATACTTCAGTTTAATTACTAAATCCATTACAGTTCGTAGTCCGATTGACCAATTAATGTTTTTCAATTAATTAATATTTATGAAAGGTATTGGTTGAGTTAAAAAAGTCAGTGTCACAAGCGGGATTCGAACCCACGACCTTCGGCTAAATACGCTGCTGCTCTACCACTTGAGCTATCATGACCTCGATCCGCTCGGACACAAACTTCCCATCTCAACCTCACCTCTCGAATTTTCCCTCCTTTTTGCCATTTTTGAAATGTGTAATTGTTTAATTCTTGGTGACAAATGAAATGGCCACGGAAAAAAATTCACTAGTTTTCGTGGTCCGATAAACCAATTAACATTTTTCAATTAATTAATATTTATAAAAGGTATTGGTTGAGATAAAAAAGTCAGTGTCATGAGCAAGATTCGAACCCACGACCTCGGACAATCGGACTGTTTTGGCCTATGTTATGTTATAGGGCTATTTTAACAAGTTGCCTGTATTCTTCTGTCCGATTTCTATGCGTTATTGGAGCGGATTGAAACCCGGTAAATTTAATAGAAATGATAAATGGTGGAGTATGTCGCTTTCGACAATCCAGATTTGAAGGAATTTACATCTCTTGGCATGAATTGCAAGAGTGAACAATTCTGTATCAATGAGAAATTGATTTTTAATGCTGCTCATTGTTGAACGAAAGCAGGAATTATAACACAACTAAATATTATATTAATAAATACTGTAAGAAAATAATTGTAAATACGTTAATTGTACGTTTTTTTATTAATTAATTAATAAAAATTACAATAAATTCAATAATTTGATTAATTTGTACAACAAATATTATTTTGGTATATATTTAAAATAGGAGGTAAATTAAAATCTATTACACTATTAAGGCATTTATCTCCATGTTCAATTTTACAGTTTTTAATTCCAAATTTCTCAAACCAACCCCTCCCTTTGTTGAAACCAGTTTATTAATTAATTAATTAATAAAAATACTTACAAATTTATAATTTTTTCTTACAGTATTTATTAATTTAATATTTATTTCTGTTATAATTCCCGTTTTGTGCACGTTCAAAATCGAGCAGCGTTAAAAACCAGCTTCTCATAGAGACATTGCACTGGCGGGGGATCGGCGGGGTTCACTCATACAATTCACGTCGAGAATCATGGTTGTAAATTCTTTCAACCTTGTGATTTATAAGCTTGAAATCTGATGAGCTGTAAGCTAGAAATCCAGATTGTTGAAAACAACAAACTGTGACCCGGCAGATTTTGTGGTGTACAGGGCATCCTAAGCCCTTTCGAACAAGACCTCCATCGGAAAAAGTTAATTTTCACTAAATCACTCATAGAAATATTTTTCTATTTCAATTTTATACTACATTGAATGCTAAAAATAATTTGTTAAGTAATTAGTTCCAAATAGTTAGGTCCTTATAATACAATTTTTAAAAGAAATAATTATTACATATAATGTATGTATTTAATAGCTGTAATTAACCATAATTATTTTAATTATTTATACTTTAATGTAAAGTCTTGGATGAGATGACACAGCAAGTGTCACAAGCAGGATTTCCAAATAAGGCAAAAATAGGGAAAATTTGAAAGGTTGTAGGTTGAGATGAGGAGTTGATGTCCGAGTGGATCAAAGTCATGATAGCTCAAATGGTTAGAGCAGCTTTGTATTGAGCCGAAGGTCGTGGGTTCAATCCCACTATGGCACTTACTTTTTCTTCTCAACCAAGACCTTAGATTAAAAGTACAATTAATTAAAATTAAAATACTATTTTATTTTAAATGGTTTTCCCCAATTTAATTTTTTTTAATAATACCTACATACAAAACTGTATAACAAGGTCAAATCTATTTTTTTCTTCTAATATTGCTGGGCTAAAAAAATGCTGAAATAGTTTTTAAAAAAATCATACTTCTTATATCCAGTATACAATGACAGGACGGAACCAGGTTGCAATTCGGCATCTTCCTCTTCATCAGTATGTAACAATTTTGCTTTTAACAGAATCTGTAAGACTTGGTGAAGAAAATCAGTCTTGATCTGAGTGCTTTCTGACAACTGAGCCACTGTCCATGAATCAGATGTGTTGTACTGAAGCAATACGGCCATTTGAAGTGTGGAAGCTTGCAATGTATATCTAAAATGGAAATAGTTCACTTAACTTATAATCTCTTATTATTTTATAGATTATGTTATATTTAAACAAACTAAATAAAATCACAAACAAAATCAATATAAAGACATATTTGATAATCAAAACAAAGCATGTATAAGTACATGGGGGATTTACAAACTAAGACCTCTTATGCCTATTTAGTTTTTGTATTCTAAATGGAAACTCCACCGAAGCGGTGCAAGGTATGAACACAATGTACCATACATGTGTTCACTGCTAGATAACTGTAGCATAATTTCATGTAATTAATGAACAGTATTTAAACAGAGTGCAAAAACTTAAAATTAAGTTCCAATCTCCTATTTTAGGATATTACATACAATCTTTAATTTGTGTGAAATATTTTCTGTTAGTAAAATGAGAAGAAATAACTTTAAATTGATCAAATAAAGAAAAATAATACGTTTTGTCAATTACAATTGAATATTACACTATTTATTATTAACACGTTCAGTGCGCTTGTCATATGTTAGGGCCACTGGTCGGTCACAAACAAGAGAATCACGGATAAAAAAGAAATAAGTAAAAGAATTGAATTACCTGTAAGCATGGCGTCAAGCACATGCCCATTCCAGGCTACCCTTTTATGGCCTTAAAGCCCCGTTGAAGCCAAAAACCCGCCCTAAAATCTGGCCAGATAGAGTGATTTGGATTCCAAAATAAAATACCTTTGGGCTCAGCCAAGCCTCTTGAACTAGGTAGACGTAATCGACTCGCCCGGTGAAGACTGACTCTTCTCCAGGACACTCCGAAATAACATAATAAAAATAAAAATATTTACCGAAATAGAAGATAGGATAGATCACCTGACTATAAAACTTGTAACAAGCAAGAATTTCTGCTCTGGGAAAAAAACAAAGTTTTGAGGTGTATTGATATAATAAGTGCAAGATAGTGGTGTGTTGTGGAAGCTAGGATGTCCCTTTATCAGTCTAGTGTTTTTTGGTGAGGTGAGTTCTATTGAATAAATTTTTTGACGATTAGACAAGTCTGCTGGATGCTAGTTTATAGCTCGTATTCCCTATTGGGAAGTGTGGCGCCTGAATCTCTCTAGAAGCCTGGTTTCAGGGTTGGGTAAGATTTATTTATTTAGTTTTCTCTTTTTCTTTAAACTTCATCTGTTTTTTCAATGTTTTCAAAAGTTTCTAAAATCATTTGAAAGGCCCTTTCGGCCCAGTGGGCCAAGAAGGTTTTCGAAATCGATTACCTCTTCTAAATAGGACTTACTATTGGATGCTAAGCAACAGATTGTCTGGCGGCTGGCTTTAGGCTGACATTGAATATGGAAGGAAACGGAAAGAATTAACAAGATTAAAATTGTTGCAAAACTATCTTCATTGCCAAAACAAAGGATGCGAGATATCCATTCAGATCGAAAGCACGCATGATGAAAGAAAGCATTATTCTTGGGATACCAATTCAAACCCAATATTGTTAGGGTTTGCTCCTCATCGGAAAATAATAAAGGGACCAAGAGGTCGGCAGGGAAGGATGCCAATAACTTCAGGATGACTGGCATAACGTTTGCGTCAGTGGAAGCCACCTAATTTTAACAAAGCACTTAATTCATCACACAAGATAATTGCCGACTTGATGGCGTCAGCCCAGTATGCTCACAAGGATCACATCAGATGCGGCAATAATTCATGGACTAGTTGTTGAAGTATGCATTACGCATTGAGCTTGAATGGCGGGGGGAGTGTGACAGTTCATATTCTAAGACAATGTCCTTGGGAGAAGGATGCCAGAATACATGCAGAAATTTTCTCTGTTCAGGAGTAAGAATTTGGCGATGCGTTTTCTGAATATCACAGGACAATGCAATGTGACGGAGGCAGAAGGACATTAAAATGCTGCCAATATCCATTTGTAATTTAGGACTTTTAATAGTCACTCGTTCCGATCGCCCGTAAAGCATCAGGAACAGAGGCATTAAATACTACTTGCGTTTAGAACTAGATTCTTTGGTAACTATGTGATGTGGTATAATGTACTGAGCAGGGCAGGGTGCAATAGACACGTAATTGAGTTCAAAATATTCCCACATGAAATCCCGATAACTGCAGTTTTTTTTTGAATTCTTAGTCTTTGACATAGAAATTACCATCATTTTACCTATAATTATCACCTTCAAAATATCGTCAATAAAAACATGACTAATTTTAACAACATTCATTGTTATTCTGCTAATAGGACTAGCTTACAAATGATACAATAACATACTAGAATGATCATTTTAGGGAATGTAGTTAACTATAACTTGGGCACTCTCAACACGACTCACAAAAATGACACATCTACACAGAATAAAAACACTTTGAGCCCTGAAGATGATCTCAATAATGATTGAAACGTTGGCACGATAAAGAAAATGTTTTTCTAAAACCTACATCACACCAGACCGCATCTCAAGATCTCCGAACAATCATTAGCTAACGGTCACTAAACACCACATGTTAACCATAACATTTAATTTGCTATTAAAAAGTTAAACTTTAATCTTTCTCATTCAAAGTAGTGAAGTAAAACTTTTACATTTAGTTTCGGCCTAAAAAAAAAGAAATAATTCTCCTTACTTTTAATGGAAGCCAAAAAGAGACATTGTATTGTTAATAGAAAAAATTATATAACATATCCAATTAAAAAAGAATGATTGTAACTGAAAGAAGCTGCTATCTTTTAGAGTTTTGGCCTAAAAGGCCTGTTGATGCCCAAAACCCGCCCTAAACCTGGCCAGATAAAGTCTGTGATTTGGATTCCAAAATAAAATACCTTTCGACTCAGGCCAAGAATGGTATTTGGGTATCTTCTGGGCATCTCCTGAACTGAACTCTATAGACATAGTTGACTCACCCGGTGAAGACTTACTCGTCTCCAGGACACTCTTCAAAATAAAATAAATAACAACAAAAATAAAAACGTCTACAAAAATTTATCTTTCGTAGAGCAACCATAAACACTTCAAATTTAATATTGGATGCAGGGCAATGGATTGTCCGGCAGCTGACCCTAGACTGTGTCACCCTCACATTTTGAGGATGACACTTTCAGTCACTTTTGTAAACATTAGAATGCTGAGGGGAGATGTTGGAGTTGAACTGGAAAAAAGAGATTAGGTGTGTTCCAGACTCGATAATGGTTGCTCGAAGCTAAAGTAAATTTTACCATAATTTAGTTACCACCAGGGTGAGTTGAGCGATTGTGCTGTATCGTTGTGTGGTTGCAGGTTGGAGTTGGGGAGAAGAGTTAAACGTCTTAGTTACCCTTTGTTATAATTTTGGTTTAACTTGTATATATATGTCTTGTAAATATATTTTGTTTTCAGTCGGTTTATTTTCAGCAAGTGTGCTTTTATTTGTTTTATTTTAATTTTCCTCTACCCTTTACTATCCCAAGTTTTAGAAGTGTTGGACCCTTATTTGTCGTGCCGTCGAATGATCGACGTCACAACTGACAATGAATATGAAAGGAAACAGAAAGAATTAATAAAATTAAAAAGGAGTTTTTAAAGGCAAAAGGTGTTTAAAGGCAGTTGCCAACAGCTGGCACAAGAAGGGCAGTTGAACGGGTAAATTTTATGAAGTGGCGTAAAAATGATATATGGCTGACTATTCATTTTCACACATACACATGATGGAATTGACGGGCAATTTTTGAATCTGTTTTTTTGGCATTTGCTCTGCAATTCTCGCTCACTCAGATTGGAACCTGGCTGATTAAATGTTCAGTACATCTTGAGCTTTTAAATGAGACCTTAAGTCTCTTTAAAATTTAAATTTTACTCAAGATATTGCTGACAATTTTTTTAATTGTAAAAGCATAAAAGCTAAAAAAATGTTTAAATCATAAAAAGAATGTACACCTTGAAACATTTTGGAAAATGCGCCACGCATTGAACGTGTTAATAAATTTAGAAAAGTCTATAACTGTGACAATAGAAAGTAAACCCTTCGTACACTTCATGATTGAACCTCCAGCTTTATGACCAGGTGTTCAAGAGGCCTTGGCCAAGTTCTTGTTTTTCAAATTAGATAAATCACCATTTGTAAAACTCTATTTTAACCGGAAAACCCTGAAACATACAGGGAAACGTTTCTATTGACACATAATGACTTTCATTTGAAAATTTCATTTATCTTACAATGATACACTAGTAATAAGATATTGACAACGTAGACGACCATAACGTACCTGTTTTTAAAACAATTTGTTATTAATTCACCTTTCGACATATTATAAAGCCAGTTAAGTTTTCTCCCTGAATGCTGGCTACTGTAGAAAGTCGTAAACCTGGAAACACTCCTTTCCAACTGGAGGAAATATTCAATTAGAAAATATTTTTTTTATATTTTTTTAAATTATAAATATATAAAAATGACCATACTTCTGTGGGTAAAGAAAAGTTATGGCTTAACTGAAAAGGCCAAGAGCCAGAGGAAAGCACTTGAATACTAAAATCTATATCAGGCTGCTCATTTAAATTTAAAAGATGAGCTCTAAAGTGTTCGTTCAGATCTTTTGACACTCCAATGTCCTAAACAAATTTAATTGATACTTAATTAAATTGATAAAAACAAGTAACTTTACAAACCTACCTGAAACATTCTCTGAAGTTTGCTAGTATACTCAAAGCCACATGCTTGTTTTAATTTACTTATCATGCTAGCTTCTGCATCATCACTGGCAGACATATGTTGGACTAATCGTTTTGCCAACATTTTTGAATAAAACTTTTGGAAAACATCTTTATCTTCGATATATTTAAAAACCACCATCTTAAAATAAAAATAGGGAAAAAGTTAATTTAGTCGTGAAAACTTCAAAACTTGTAAAAGCGTACTTACAACTTGATTAAGGGTATCCTCGAGTTCCGCTTCTTCAGGATTCTTTGACGACTTTTTGAGCAGTATATCACAGAACTTAGCTAGCAGTTCAGGGCTCTTAGAACTAGATCCTGCCATCCGGGTTACAGCGTTATTATTAATGAATTTACCACAGGCTTTGTCCAATGCAGCCACAAAGCCAGTATCGTTATTGAATGCAGTTATTACAAGAGCGTTGTATTTCTTGTGTACTCCGAGAATCGTAGAAACGTAAGTCTTAGGATCCTATAAATTAAAAAATACACAGCATGAATTTTTTTTTTTATATTTGACAAGGAACATTTGAAACTGATTAAATAAAACAAATAATAAAAAGTATAATGATAAGTAGGTAAAAATTACGGTTAATGAGTATTGGTTCAGGAGAAGTTTATTATTTTTAATCAAGATAACTATTGTTCATTATGTAAACTATTAAATATATGCATAATTTTTTTCTTCTTTTCCTAAATGGAATTTTTTATTTTTTTTATTTTAATTAGGGTTTATTCGGAAAAAAAAATTCAGAAGAATTAAAAGAAAAAATATATATAATAATCAACTGCTTGGAATTTACAATAAATAAAAAAAAATGAATGATAATATTTTATATATTTCAATGAAACTTATAAATAAATAAAAACATGTTTACAATAAAAAAAAATAAAATGGTAAACAAAAATTAATTAATTTTTTTTCTTCTTTTCCTAAATGGATTTTTAATTTTTTAATTTTAATTAGGGTTTATTCGGGGGGAAAAAATCAGAAGAAAAAGAAAAAATATATATAATAATGAACTGCTTGGAATCTACATTAAATTAAAAAAATGAATGATAATATTTTATATGTTTCAATGAAACTTACAAATAAATAAAAATGTAAGTTTACAATAAAAATAATAAAAAATTAATTAATTTTTTAAAAAAATTTACATTGAGATGACTGGGTTAGTGGGTCATGGATTTAAACCGAACTTTTTTTAATGATTCTAACTCCAAAATATCAGACACATATCCGCCATGTCTTTTGAATAGCCCTGGTTTATAGCTAAAAAACAAATTCAATTTTGACCATTTTCTTTTTTAAATAAAATTTATCATTGATAAACTTTGTTAGCTTTTACCAAAGTATTATTGCAATCTACATAAAAAATTCTGAAAAATATTAAATTTTGGACAATTTCAGCTTTCAAATTTTTTTGGGCAAAACCAGGACCGACCTATTCAAAAGAGTGGCGGATTCACGTCCGATATTTTGGAGTACAGAATCACCAAAAAAAGGTTTGGCCCAAATCTGTGACACACCAAGCTGGTCGTCCCCCTGTTAGATAAAAGAAAAAATTATTTCAAGACATATTTGATCTTCGTGATGCAATCTTAATTTGTTCACCTTAGCGATTCATTTTTAACTCAAACAATCAAAATAATTCTTTTAATATTTATATTTTTACTGTTTATGTCTGTTCTGGAAGGGTTAATTATTTTGATGGGTATTGATGTTAGTATCTGTGGCCAGTATGGAGAAGTTTAAAATGTATATATATCCTATCTTTTTAGGGAATGCAACAATTGTCCATTAAGGGAGGTGATTAATTAATAGCAGAATTATTAAATAAAAATAAAAATTAATTAACAAAAAAATAGTACAAATGAAACTAAACGGGCTATTCTTGCGGTTCATTTTTTAAACGTTCAACAAACAATTGTTGGGAAACAATACTTACACTAGAAGCCGTGTCTAAACTCTTCTCGATGGCATCTAGGCCTTGATTGGCTATGTGAGCTTCAAGTAAAGACCGTAACTCTCCAAGTGCGTCCGGTATCCTCGCAACAAGTTGATACATCCTGCCTAAATCCTCGTTTTTATCGGCATCGAGAAGATGTTGGAATTCTGCATGGAGCACCTCCATTTGCTTTTCGATTATCACCCTCTCGCACGTTTTCGCCAAACGATCTGATGTCGTCTCGTGCAAATACACTTGAACACGTTTCTGCTCTTCTGCCAATCTTAATTCAGCCTAGTTTATTTTTTAAAAAAAAGTTATAGTTTTTAATAAACACAGATTGCGTTCTAACTAAACGAGAATTTAACAACCTTTTTCATATACTCTGTCACAGGATTTTGACAGAGGAATTCAGTACTTTCTTTAGCATAAAATCGCTCTGTGTCTTCTAAAAATACATTTTCAAATGATTCTTTGTAGACACTAAGGTTTGGTCCTTTTGCCGAAGGATCTTCCTCATTTAGGCCTGTAAATGAACAACTTTAGTTGAATACACCATAGCTAATACAAAAAATAATAATTTACCTAATTCAACATAACAATTAATTACACCACTCACAAGCCTTGTGTTTATTGTTTCTCCATTTCTTTCCCTTTCAATTAGTTTCAGAACAGCATTAGTAACCTACAATTATATAATATAAAATCTACTTTAATCATGTAATTTAAAAAAAAATACTAATGATGAAAATAATAAAAATTGACTACCTGTCGATTGAGTAATTTAAAGAAATTATCCCTCCAAGTCACTAAAGCTAACTGATAAATTTCGTAAATTCCTTTTCTACCTTCTTCACACTCTCTTCTCACCCAATGCCTATAAATTGAAATTCACAATCAATATAAAATTAATTTCACTTTAGTTAACTATCCAGACCTATTTAAATAAGAGCAAACTCCATTCAGAACTTTTGAACTAAACTGATACTGTTCCCATTGTCTTGTATAAAACTGAAGCACATCTTCATCCATTAGATGCAAACCATCCTGCAAAAACAAATTGTATTCAAGTTGAAAAAATTAAATTTTTAAAATCGACCTACATACCCTTAGTAAAGTTACTAAATAATTCCTTAAAAAATCCCGAAGGCATTTATACAACTCTAATCCAACCAATTGTGCTCCACCAGACACCTATTTTCAAATAAAAGTTATCAAAGTATTTACGGTTTTTGTAATTATAATACATAGATATACCATGAAGGCTTACTTGGTTTTTCTTTCCTTTAGAAGAAGAAGACCTGCTCACTTGTTGATGTACACTTGTACAATAATTATATACGTGTCTGCAAAGGAATCAAGTTAAGGAATTTCTTAATTTTTTTTTCAACCATGCAACAATTATATTTTTTCCTTTTCAGAAACGTTCTTATGACAAGTAGAAAATCAAACTCTGGTTGCTTTATTTAAATTAATGCATTTAATAATTACTTAAATTAATTATGTGCACATTTTAACAATAAACAAACTACACCAAAAATAATGTAACAGCCACCTTTGGCTAAATGATTAATGTAATTAGCAAGGTGCTTTATCAAAGTATGTGAACATCACTAACAATCGAGTTGTTGGTATAGTGAAACCCTTCCCTCCCTTAATGAACAATTTTTGCATCCCCCCCCAAAAAAAAACAATTAAAAAAAACATTCGGTACATTTAACCATCTATAACAGAACCCCCTTCGTTCACAGACACTGCTGTCAATCCCCATCGGAGTAATTCACCCATTTAGAACTGACAGTAAAACTATACTGTTATGCCCTGAAGATGTTTTCAGCCATAAAGAAGGGTGAAACGAGGAACCAAGAAAATATTTCAAGGTTTACCTTTTTCTCCTTTATTTAGAAATCATCCAGACATATGAGGTCAGGTTCGATGTGGTCTCTGAAAACAGATTCATTGGTCCTCGCTCGATCTTAATTGATCCAACCATTAAAAATTGAGAGAAGTATATGTTTTAGTGAACACCGTGTAGAAATAAAATTTGGAGAAATAACATGAAATGGAGTAGTATGTGGTGCTGTGGACGATGTACAGAGAGACAGACTGACTAAAATCGTAAGTCTAACTTCCCGTGGTTCATTCATATAATTTTTTTAATGTCAACAAGTAGGAAGGTAGGGCTAAGTATGCAATTTAATCCTTTATGGATAAATGATACAAAAATTGTTTACATTCTCTGTTTTATCACAGTTATTTGGAAATTCTGCATACATTCCTTTGCCCTGGGTTTTTTTAATTTTTATTTTTTTAATTTTTTTTAATGTTGAAATTACCTTCCACCTCATCATCACATCCCCTGTTCTGTTCTCATTTGAAATTATTTTAGTAACCCATTTTGGGGAACTATATAAGTACATTTTCTTCATAAGGTTTGTTTCTTCTTTGAAAGTTTCTCTTTCACAAAGGACCACAGATTTTTGCACCTCTACTCAGTGAAAATTAGGACTGCCACCCATTTATTTGATCTTGGTCAAAAGGGGACATCATGGCTCTCAAGACTCAACTGTGTTTTGTGACGCTCCACTTCATTAGACTTATATAAGATTAAGAGCTACTTTGAATGTTAGAGTTTTGCAAGGCCATGGTTATGTTCCCTAAGAATCCCAGCTAGCTGGGATACAGTTGTTCGTCTGAACTAAATACATGTACTTGCAAAAAGAAGATATTTCCGGCGTGAGAGGGCTGATTATAATTCCTAGTTTGGGGAAGTTTGTGTGAAGTAATAATAATATTGATGATAAAAAATTGTATGTAATTGGAACCAGTCCTTGTATTGAATTACATTCTAATTAGTGTCGCGAGCAGAAAATAGTTGTAGGTTGAGATGGCAGGGGACCGAACATCATGGTAGTTCAATAGTACAGAGCAGAGAATTATGATATGAATCCCGCTCGTGATACTAACTTTTCTATCTGAACTTTGGTTTCATAATTTAGTTCACTATAACGAGTAAAACTAATAGTATTTTAATACAAACTAACTGATAATTAGTGATGTTTACAAAGATTAACAATGTTTTCTGTTAATTATGTTGATTATTTATACAACTATATGATGCCACAAATTTCAAATATTGGCAGAAAAAGGATAGATCTAATTTAATAGCAATAATATTAAAGTAAGTTGAGATAAGTTGCGCTCGGAAGACTGAAATTATATATAAGGCTCAATGCCTCCTATTTGAAAGTTGGTTTGAACCAGACTCTAACTTAACTTTTCATCTCAACTTTACTTTTCATAATTTACCACTGTAATACCACCAAGAATAATACAATCTTTAACTACCGTGACATTTCAACATCTCCTGTGTACCATAACATTTAAAAATTTATTTATAAATTGAATTAAATTATAAATATTGCTGACTTTCTTATTTAAAAAATAAATTAATTAAAAATGAAAATTGTACATTTAGACGTTAAAGGATACGTATAAAGTTCCATATATCTCGGTTTGGACATGAACTCCCTATTATACACCTGTTCTATCCCTTGTCGTAGATCATCCCAGATCTGGTCTAGCTCGGTTTGTTTCACCCCGCTAGTCTGACTACGACTTGTTGCCATTTTGACCGACATTCTGAAATCAACAAAAAAAAAACAATTTAATAAAAGTTAATTTTAAATTATGCCTTCTACTATTCTAGATAAACAGTGTTAAATTTGCAGTTTTGTAGAAAAATTCCTTTTTTAATAGCAACATTCTGTTACATGAATTATGACAATCATAATTTAACTATATTACAGAAAAAAAAGTTTATATGTATTCATGCTACTTTAATGTCCAATACTGACATAATTAATTAGTAATTAAAATACTAAAACATAAAAATCATTATAAAATATTACAAACTTGTTTTACTTTATGGTTACAAATTATATTGCTTAGAGGTCATAATTGACCTTATTAATTATTCCAATTAAATATTCTTTTTATCTAAGGTTTTGGTTGAGATGAAATATTAGTGTCTTGAGCTCAAGTGGTTAAAGCAATGGCACATTGAGCTGAAGGTTGTGAGTTCGAATCACGCTTGTGATGCTAATATTTCATCTTAACCAAAAACCTTAGATAAAAAGAATAATTAGTTACAAATTATTTTCATCTGTTATATCTTTAATTGGTAATATTAACTAAAGTAATTATTAATTTAATTTTTATGCAAAGTATGGTAGGGTTGAAAAATTAATGCCACAACATCCAAATTTTCAAAATTTTCAAACAACATCCATTTTCAACAACTGAATCATATTAATAAGATACATAATAAAAATTGTAAAGTATGAAGACATACGACGGAATTGATTGATTTTTTAAATTTATTTAATTGCTTTGTGCAGTCAATAGGGAGTGAAGGCCTCAGCCCAGATTTTGGTGCGTCATGTTATCTGCCTTTATTTTCTAATATAATATATGTATTTATAACATTCTGAACTGAATGTAATAAATTTACTTGTCAACTTTTTTTCTTTTTTTTTTCAAGTTGAGTTTGTTTCTGTGAAAAAACCTATCTTAAACGAGTTTCGATTAATGTGTAATGCCTGTAATGTGAGTAATTCGGATTCAATAAGTACTCCCCAATCCATGTATATTGGCTATTTCGATACAGAGGCTATCCCAATTCGATTTACTTTTCCATGCAAATACAATTAGACTGCAGGCTGTAGTTTGCCCATCCTACACTATTCGATTACACAGAGAGGACCTAACCAATAAGTAGTAAAAAATAAAAAGTTTCTTTCAATTAATGCAATTTTAATCACGCAGGTCATACAACCATAACATAAGTAAAGATCATTTATTAATGATTAAGCAAATTCACATTTTGGCCTTAATTTTATACTGATGAAACAAAAACAAAAAATTGATTGAAGACTGTTGTGGCAAACATACTTATATTATAGTTTGGATTTTGAACTATTTAAATGCAAATTTATGAAATTAATTACTATTGAAATGAAGCCTGATTATTTTACCTGCCTAGCATTATATATGTATATTGCAATGCACACTGTACATGAGAAACTATGAACTGTAGTTTGTACCATTAATTCACTATCTTAAGGTTTGCCTTACTTTCACAAAGATGGCAATCTATTTGAACAGTGAAGCCAAATTATCAACGAGATATATTGTACAATGGAATTTGGCCACATTTTAAAAAGTAACCTTAACAACATCATATTTAAATGAAAGTAAATGGAAACACAGCTTATATATTAACCAATACACCATAAAATATGAATTATGAACACTATTTAAGAGCAAAGGTTTGATAATCTTCAAGGAAACTTAATGCTAAATTATAGCCTTACTTCCATAATTGTGAGGAAAGTCTGATAGAAGTTTAAGATCAAACTACGAATGAGAGCCATGTTAAATCAAATCCAACCGCCTTTGAAGAGTAAAATTACTGGAATTTACAATTATGGAAATAAGCTACTTTCACCTATGTTGATTATGTATGTTTTAAGTATAAATTACAAAGAGAAAATAATATGAAACAAAAAGGGTAAAAATATGTTATGTTTATAAAACTATTGTTACATTTTCATGCAGCTATGTCTCAACATATTTTAATTTTTACAAGTAACAATTTCATCATAGGTTGTGCCAAAATACTATCAAGATATTATTGTAAAAAAGAATTGAACCACAATAGATGAACGACTTGTTTTGTACAAATATGCTCTTGCACAATAAGGCCAAACAAATCAACAGTAAAATGTAGTGTTTTATGCAAGTAAAAATAAAACAAAAATTGGTATTCTAAGATGTTTTAAAATTTCCAACAGTATATACATATTGTAAAATGGGATTTGACCACCTACTGATGAAACATTGAAATAGTTCTAACAAATTAAGTTCTGATATATTTATTGCTTTTACTTTGTATGTACGAGTAACAATTTGATCGTTTAGCTAAATTACCAGCGAGATATATCATACAGCAGAAGTTAACCACCATTTATGAGCACTTATGTGAAAATCAATGTCAAATGAAACCATTTAAAAAGCTCCTTTTTTTCCCAATCTGAGGAATATACACTGTTGGACAAATTTAACACACCACTATTTAATTCAAAATTAAATCGATTATGTTTCTCCATTAGTTACAAGTAATTAGAAGCGATCATAGTCAAAATGAACAGTAAATAATGCTTTATTTACTTCCTGTATTTACTTTTGTACTGATTAATCCCATTTGCATAAAAAGTAGCATTATGCCCTTCTGTTCTGCTATGCCTAAAGTTGATTTCATTTTAAACTATTCTTATTCTTAATCCTTTTTCAATGGCTCCTGTCAGGCATTTGATTGAGTATGACAGTGTCAGGGTCAAAACATTGTTAGTGGAAGGATTCAGCTCAAAGTCCCCAGGAGACTGAATATAAATCACTACAATAGGAAAGGCTCTTCTGCTAGCAGGCCAGGATAGGATCGGCCTAGGTCTATGGACAGAAGCGATGGTAAATTCATCTTGTCATCACACTACAAAAACGCAGCATTACAGGAAATGAGATCAGAAATTTTATAAGACAAGTCTGAAATATAAGAAGGCTCAATGAAAATAACTTCGGGGCCGGGCACCCGGTTTTTGGCCTTTTTTTTCTTCCGGTTCGGAAATTGTCCGGGTTTCATTTCGCCCGGGACTTTTTGATTTGGCCTTTGGGGTTTTTGGGCGGGTTTTTTTTTGTTGGGTTGGAGTTGGCCTCAAATCTTCACATGGAAATTTCATATGGAGACACTCAGGAAAAAAGTCTATGCTGTATGGTTCCTCAGATGGTATTCCATAGCAGGTCATTGATGTTCTGGGTGGTATTTCCTTCAACACTCGTACTGAATTGGTTGTTCTGAGGATGGTCCCTAACATCATAGAGGAAATTACAATTGAAACCCATGTAGTGCCATTTGCCCACCACATCAGTGAGGTAGTCTTGCCCAATAGCACACGAGTTGTGATTACTATCTGATTGACGTTGGACTTGAGCGCTTGGTGTGGCCAGCTTTAAGTTCAGCTTTAAACCCAATCGAACACATTTGTGACCAATTGAAGCAACGAGTATGACAGCAAATCCCTGATCTTAACGACCTAGAAGAGTTGAAAACAGCTGTTCTTGATTAATGGGGAAGAATTCCTCAGGATTTTATCAAAAATCTTTTTCAAGGAATGCAAAGGCACAGACTCGTGCGAGAGGTGGAAATATTCTGTATTAAAGGGGACACAAAAGTTTTTTACATTACTTTACTCACTATTTTTTTTAAATTGGGTAATATTTTCCTTTTAAATGACATTTTTGTAACCAAACCTATGTTTGGTATGCAAAATATGAATAAACCTAAATATATGTTGCATTTAGTGACCGTTAATTAACAATTTTTTTGGAGATCGTGAGATGTGGTCTTGTGTGATGTAGGTTTAGAAAATTTCTTTATTGTGCCATTTCAATCTTTATTTAGATCATCTTCAAGGTGTGTAACACTCAACACAACACACATCTACACACTTTGAGCCCCAAAGATGATCTAAATAAAGATCAAAACGTTGGCACAATAAAGAAAATGTTTTTCTAAAACCTACATCACACAATCTCCAAATAAACCTAAATGCATTAAAATTTAAGAATGGTGCGTTTTATCCATCAGTGTATGACATATGTTTTGTCTATCACATACAACTTAAGAGGGCATGGCATAATCAATATAATGTTGTAAAACTGCAAGACACAAAAAATGATCTTATCGTTCCCAGAAATTCTACTTCGTAACATGCCTCATGTTTGTAGAATTGTACAATATTAAAATACTGATGTGGAACCTATCGAGAGAGCTGTTTTGGAGCAACAGGGCTAAGAGAAAATCTCATACAAGGCTCAAGCGGGGACTTCTGCTTGATTTATTCACTAATTAATTTGGGAAGGATAAAAGTGAAGTTGAACAAAAACCACAATACTCGCAAATGATTCGCTTATTCAATGCGATAACTTGCAATTTATCATGTTGGTAATTAGTAATAAATGCGTCCTGAGATGATTGTACAAAATGGGAACAAAGTGCATTTTTAAAAGTGGTGGTTTTAGGGTTTTTTCGTGTCTTTTTTACTGGCCCTATCGCTTCCTCGTCCTAACAGCCCATGACAACGGCAACATTATGAAACGGACACCGTGTGCAAACGGGCCAATTATGATTGACTGGGCTAATTGTTAAATTGCATACTTACATAAAATATCCATACACCCCTTGGAAAGAATTATACGAGGATGCGCATGATATCCAAATTGTACTGGGCCGACAGCCAACGATCCGAGTGTCCCATCTTCAATTATTAGTGCCGTTCTTCTTTCAGTTATCCGAACGGGAATTCGTTAAAACCATTCTAGACAGGAGGAAAACTGTTATCGACTGATTTTTTTATATTTTTCGTAGGAGACAAAATTATAATAGGAGATAGAAAAAAAAGTAGCTGTTGGAATAAAGGTTAAAACTAAACGGAAATAATAAATTTAGACGGTATTTTCCAAAGTATTGCGTTAAGGCCGAAGAGACGGAAAGGGTGACCAGAAACTGAACATATGTAGACGAAATTTAAAATTTATTATTTTCCGCTTGTCCCGTAAGAAATTTCACGGGCGAATGCCATTAGCAAACTGTTAAAACGATCCGGGACCCGACCATTACCGTTAACCGTACGACAAATAACAACGGCAACTTACATTTAAAGCTATTTCGACCACCGGGGACAACGGACTCTATATAGAAAAAATAACAATAATTAATTATTTACTTAAAAACTAATAACAATGAATTCACGAGAGATTGCACTTTTTTTCCAGTTGTCCTTTGGATAAAGGACGAACCAGTCGTGCCAACCCGATTTCTCTTTCGTCTTTACGGCTTGCCCTCTTCGAGTTTCCCTCCAACGAAAAAAAGGCGACTTTAAAAAAGCGAAAAATCAAAAAATTTAAAAAAACGTTGAAGATCACAAATTTCATCCGAAAATCGTCCGAACGCGTTTTTCACCCCCTTTCGACTCGGCTAAATTTTTCCTCCTTAGCGCTGAACTTTGACTACCTTTGAGTGAAACCCTAGCGGACTTCAATTTAACTCTCCCTGCGGTTTGTGAAACGAGCGGATAGGCCAAAAATATTTGTCTTCTTTACTTTGTCCAATTAAAAAATATATATATAAATAAAAATAAAAAACATGTGACTGGGCAAACTTGGCCACTCGGTGTGGCAACACTGGCTTCCACCGCTGTCCGCTATTTGACAATTTGAAGTTTTGAACTGACCCGCCTTCTCCATTTCGAAAAATGGTAAATATACTAATTCTCCAATCGCTTTAAAAATCGTTATTAACTCTGGTAAAATCAACGTTTCCAACTGTTTTAATAGTTAAAAATCAATTCCTGTCCTAGGTTTAACTTTTTCGAACAAGTGAATTATTTTATGGACAAACTCAGTAGCACTTTTTTCTCCTTCTCAAGTCTATCTCTACTTGAACTGATGAAATTCCTGTTAAAATAATTTTTCTCTCCCTTCAATCTCTATGAAATATATAACATATTTTTTAATTTCTCTTTAACTTCAACTTTTTCCCCTTCATAGAAGAAATTTGTTGTTTTACTGTTCCCTGAAGAATATGTTGAATTCATGAGGAGCGGTCAAGAAAGTGGTAGTTTAGAAAAACATCCTTTTTATTTTTTACCGCCGTTTCGACCTTTATTCAGGTTTCAGGGCATAAAGTGTGGTGCTAATATTGTCGAGTTATATTGGTGTTGTGTGAAATTGTTATAGGCAAAATATTATTTTTTAATCAAATGAAACATTAATTAACATTAAATTAATTAAAGAAGGCGTTGGTGACCGCAACAGTTTAAGCGTTGACTTGGCGCTCATCACTGTAAGGTAAAGGTCCAGAGTTTGAATCCAGTGGTCTTGCATTCGAACCTGACATACTTACAAATGGGCAAAATACAAGCCCACATATAACCTCATAGTTGAAATACACTCGTTTAAAAAAATAAAATAAAATAAAAATAAATAAATTCATCCACCAAAAACATTATGTTTTAAAGCAATAATGAATGAAAATCATCCCAAATGTCTCCATTTCAAATGGCTAAACACTAATCATGTGACAAAGATCTCCGGTTGTAATAAATTAAGCGATATTCTGCCAGGATAGAACATTTGCCTAGAAAATGCATTAGTTTCATTGACATTCTAGTTGCATAGCGAACAAAGGTAATCATAATTTTGTCTCCAGGGATGATAATTGAAGTTATCGTTTCTATGTAGAGTTCAAATCTTCTTTAAGGTCTTTACTAGGTGAAAGAAAGACAAACGTGTTGGGATCACCAAGCTTTCGGCAACATTATGTTGCTATCATCAAGGCTTTCCCAAGAGAGAGGAGAAAAAAATTCTCATCGGAAAAAACTATTGTAAAAGTGCTTTGGTTTAGGTTATGAAGCACATGACCAGCATTCAGTTATACATGGTGAACAAGACATCTCATTAATAAATTCATATAATTACAAGTCCAACTGTTTTTTGTTCTTATTAGCTATTTTTGACATTAAAAACATATGTTATCACAGAGAGTATTATTTTAATGACTAGAATTACAGTTTGTTAAAATGATATGTACAAAGGAATTAAGATGAGAACACAACACAACGTCGCCTTACCTAAGGTTGGACTCTCTTGTTCAAAGCTTGGTGATCCCAACACTTTTGTCTTTCTTTCAGCTAGTAAAGACCTTGAAGATTTGAACTCTACATTGATTATCTGCAGGTCGATCTACCAACATTATTTCATGTTATCATTTCTGTATGAGAAATTAGGATTACATACATTTACTTTTTTACTGTTATATCAGGTATACCACACCTCAACGTCATCCAACAGTACTGACGGTATCCTATATAACATGCGGGTGGGGTGCACCTGAAAAGACCTTTTTGAGTTGTTATTGCCACATAATTTCTTGAGCTCTCTTCCAGTTCACACTGTTGATATGCATGAAATAGGTCCATTTTGGCAAACACTTGATTTCCACCAATTCTCTGGAACAATCTTCAATCCAAGGTATAGGTGTTGATCCATTTTCAGAAAAGGATTTATATCCTTTGCGTTTATAATCTACACAAATTCTAACAAAACCATCCTTTTGTAGCAGTGGGACAATTGGTGACCCGTAGGGGCTAAATTGAATGCTCTAGAATTCCTTCCTTGATCAACCAGTCTATTTCACCATTAACTTTGTCCTGCAATGCATATTGTGAGCTTTTAGAAATTTTTGTGGTGCAACAGGAACTAATTCCAACTTTATTTTTCCCTTATTCAAATTTCCTAATCTAGGATTAACAATTTAAGGGTACAATGAGGCCAGCTCTTCACACATTTCATTGCTACCCTTCTGAAAAAAAAGCGCTTGGGCTGAACTGTCCACAATATGGAACCCTAGATTCTCAAACCACTGCCGGCCCCAATAACAGAAGCCTGTTAGTCTCCACCCCATAGCATACCATACCCGGGTAGCACCTTTCTTTATAATTTACTCCAATTTTTTAGTTTCGAAGATTTTCCTTGGAAATATGTGATGAACATTTTAAATTATTAGAAGAGAAAAATGGTGGAGTGAGTGTGTTCAATCTTTATAAAAAGATAGTTCCTCCTCACAGTAAGTTGTTTTCAACGATCCAGATTTTGAGCCTACAGCTCATCATCAGCTTAAATTGATTCATCACTGAATCTGTCTAAGTAGATCCATTAACCCGATAAAGCTAATAAAAATGAAAATCTTTTACTTTGAACATGACATTGGAGACATAAGCTCTGGCAATCTCAACTATCCACTTTTCTGCAATGTTAATACATCCATGGTTTCTAATAAATAAAACAAGTAAATATTACACAAGTTGTTTATTTAATTTATCATAGATTTCTGAAGAATTATTTATTTGCAGTTACAATTGAATGTTCAAGTTCCACAATCATCCATAAATGTTGCCTGTGTTTATTTCATAACACCATAAAATTATTTTTAATTTAAGTTCAATGATCATGATTTATAACACAAATATCATACAATAAAAATATAAATGTTAAAATATAAGGGACGGTCATGTCAAAAACATGTCTTTTATTTACATTTAATATATATTACTAAACTAACTACTGAAATACTTACAGAAACATTAATCAATTAAAAACTTTTATTAAATTTTAAGATTGATTTTGGGGATGGTATTTCAGCTGTAATATTTTTTAAATATTTTTATATTATATAATCACCCACCTGAATTTTATTTTGAAGAAATGGATTGGAGACAACATGGTATAAGATTTTTTTAAAATATTACATTCATATCAAAATTGACAAGAGTTTTAGATTTTGTTTTTTCTTTCGATTCCATATAGAAAATATTTGAAATGTGAAATGTTGCAGTTTCTCTGGGGGAAAATATTTTTAATTAATGTGCGCCCTAGAAATTCCATTGTAAGCACTAACTTAAAAATAAATCAGACAAATACACTTATTTCTTATAAAATATACAAAAGAAAACATGAGTACACAACAGCACACATTTACAGTAAAAAACTGTTTTACTTGGCATTAGTTAACTTTTTCCTTGAGCTTGACCAATGAAGCGATATAAGGGATGACTGTTAAAAGACAAACACTAATGAAGGTGTTGTCAAGAAAATGAAAAAGGTAAAACTGAAATGGATCATTGTTTGGCATCATTGGTTTCAAGAGTCTTGTGCTGACAAAAAATAATGTTGTCACTATAGCACCGACAATGGGGTAGAATTTTCTGTAATTAAAAAAGAATTTAATACAACTGGTGATTTTAGGTTTTGATGTATTAATACCTTTCTTTGATTGGGCTGGCTAGGCCCAAGCCGATAAAGCAGCCAGCATCTCTTACAAGACAATAAATAGGAGTCGTATAAACGCTCACTGTATCTGGCCTTCTACACCATTTGAATGCAAGTTTAATGCTCCAGCCAGGATCATACCCTATGTACATACTTTATAGAATACAATAAAATGTAAAATGTAATTTATATAAATTTACCTAGTAAGAGATGAGCACCATAAACACAGCCAGAGAGTAGTGAAAAAAATACAGCAAGGGCAAACATCTTTGTCTTAGGCAACTTTAAAAGTCCGTGTGACACACCCCATTCTGGGTCATCGATCAAAAAGTTAGCGAGTAAATAACCTGAAAATAATTTTTAAATGTAATTCTTATCTTGTATTTATTCTAAAAATTCTAAGTCTTATCTTGTAATTATGAAAAATGATAGAAACAAACCTAACGTAGCACCAAAAATACACTGATGTGGGAAATGTGCAGCAATGTTCACCCTAGCGACTGCAATTAAAACAATTAGTGAAATATAAACTATCCAGAAGAATCCGAGTATAGGATTCTTGTATTTTGCCCTGAAAACAAATGATATTAGTGATGAGGATGTACATGTTTTAAGCATAAAATATTACCATTCGTTTGTAAAACTTTCATTACACCAGACAATGAGCCAGTGAAGGAAAACGTATTGTAGGGCAGCACAACACATAACATGACCAGAAGGAGAGCCAGGTCCTGTTTCGCACGTCAATTCTGATTGCCGCAACGGAATATTCAATTTTTCCTCTTGCACCCACCAATAAGGCCTTGGCTCCGCCAATATCCTTTTTTTAAATAAAGCATTTAACTAATTTTTATACATTCTTTGGAAACTTGTAAATATGTATAATTATTGCAAAATATTTTGTTTATACAATTGTATCATTAAGTAATACTTTATTAAACTTTAGGAATGAAATGTTTTTACAATTCACTTGTTATTATAAACAAAAATAAGAATTTCCAAAGAAAAAAATTGTGATTTGCCTTATTATGAGTCAATATTGGTTTAGTGTCTGGAAAATTCATCTAAGCTCACAATTATCAGAGGCCCAGGTCAAACAATGTGTATCCAGGCACAAGTTGAGACTGAGGTTATTGAAATGAGATGACTCCCTGAACTACAGAAATAAATACGACAACGAATGTTAGTATGCAGGATGATGTGTCCCAGTTTGTGCAGAACATTAGCCTGTGAAGGTCTCGTGTTTTACAATTTGTATATTTAATGGCTTTCTTGATAGGTAGTCAACTCCATAGAGTTTGTAATGTAAGGGCGAGCTATAAAACAGTTGTAAGAAGGCTTTGGAAGAATGGCCTATCTCTAGATATCCCACATCAGGTTCTCTACTGGAGAGGCATTGAGTAGATAGGCGACTATTCGCAAATCAGCAACTTGGACTCTTGAACAATGGGGGCTTTCTCTTCACAGAGTGATGGTTTGGTTTGTGGCAATCAAATGACCAGGACCATGTGTTGAGAAAGCTTTGCTTCATGTGCCATATGTGAGTCAAAGCGTTTTTGTCCAGGCCCAAACCGAACTGATTATCGTACAGAATGTATCTTTGACTGGACCAAGGTACATTGAGGAAGAGGAAGTTCTTCTATGGTCCATCTGACCCGTTCATTGGGTACAACTTGAGTGCATGTAGTTGTCACACATTACTTGGAGGATATAGGGATTACTGCAATGCGATTAGTGTTCTGCTGACATAAATACTTATGGGACATTATAAAGAAATGGGGTAGACATCGTTCACCATCTTTAACAAGCACTGAACATTAAACCACTCTTGTTGAAGAACTGAATTTTGTTTCATAAGACAAAATCCTTTCTTTTCTTAAAATTAAATGTGTGGTGTTTAATGAGCTTTAGTCAATGATTATTTGGAGATCGTGAAGTGTGGTCTGGTGTGACGTAGGTTTTAGAAAAACATTTTCTTTATCGTGCCACGTTTCAATCTTTATTGATATCATCTTCAGGGCCTGGGATTTATAAACATTGTTTAAATATTACAAATACTTTTTTTGCACATCCTAAATGATTTTTGTAAAATTTGAACGTTTATAAACCCAAGGCCCTGAAGATAATCTCAATAAAGATCAAAACGGCACAATAAAAATTTTTTCTTCTAAAACTTATGTCACACCATACTGCATCTCACAATCACCAAATAATCATTAAAATTAAATATTTAATTTAAAAAATTAAATATTTTTATTAAAACTTAATGCATTTCTTATCTCGTTTATTTTTAAGTATGTTGTAGTTTGAACTGTTTTTTTGTCTTTGAGTATATTTTTTTCAATTCAGAACTGCAGGTCTACTTTGGAAATGGTTTTATTATTAGGGAAAGGGACAAAGTGTCCAACAGAAAATTCCTATTATAAACCAAGATATTTCTTATTGAAAATAAAATTCTAAATTTACTCTCATACCATTTTAGCAGTGTGCTTCCCCATTCAGAAAATGAAGAAACAAGTAGTACTTGAAAGCCTAGTTTAGTGTCTAATGAAGCAAATACTGGGAAAAGTATTCCAATTGCATATGATGTTTCACAGTATTTTGAAAGCCGTAAGAAAAACATATTGTCCTCGTCCAGGCTAAAAATTGTATCAAATTTTTAAATTTTAGGAAAGTTACAGTTAAATTTTTTTTTTTAACATGCAAAATGTTGTTACTTACACATTTTGAAGAAAAAGAATGAATGAAGCTTCACCCTTCAAAAACAACTTATAGTAACTACCTGTACTTGCCAGTGCCATTTTTCACTTCACTTTACAAAAATCAGGACAGAAAGGGAAAACATAATTTAACAATATCTGTGAGTAATTCAACAAAACAGTAGGGGGTACGTGAGCATCGTGCATTTCACCCCAAGGGAGGCAAAGTATTGACTTTTCCCTTACAGCTGTCATTCACCAGGTGGTAGCTCCTAAGAGGGAGGGGTGAGGGTGTGGTGTTGCATACTGCAATATTCCCATAGAAGTACTCAAATAACTCTCAATTTGTCCGTACTTTTAAACAATTTATTTAACAAATGAAATCAATTTTACAATAGTCATCCATCTTCTTAATATTATTATTAAATCACTAGAAGTTCATCTCTTGTCCATATCTGCAACACAAATAAAAACTTTTATCAATTTTATTTGAATTTATACAACAATTAAATTGAAAAGGTAAATATGTACAAATTTATTTCTTCGCCATTATTTTCTTTTTCGAGGGGGGGAGGGAGAGATGNGAGAGAGAGAGAGAGAGAGAGAGAGAGAGAGAGAGAGAGAGAGAGAGAGAGCTTGTACACGTTTAAAAGTTGCATAGAGTTGTGTGTGGTGTTTCAAATACACATATACAGTCAACTTTTAGACCTTTATCAAAAGACTGTATAAAATTATTGGTATACACTATACAGTATGGAATATCTTATAAATAAATAAATATAGAAATACTGGAGTGTTAACAGATTTGTGCTGGTAGAACAACCTTTGAGGAAACTATTTTGTTCAGGAATGACAGTATTTCGAAAATCAAAAGACAGGAATTGATGACTCATTCAAATAACTTAAGAAAGAACAATTGCAAAAAAATGGACCTGTAATTAGTTATTGCCAGCTTTACTACCACTTTGAAAAATGGAATAAAGTAGCAGGTTTCTAAATATTTCAGCAAGTGGCTTGGGTAGATTGGATCATCTATGTTTAACATTATTAGACCATGTACTTTGAACATTTCCATCAGACTTGTCTGCATATTCTTGCAAAATGTCAAAACAAGTCCATCAAATTTTAAGGGTTGTTAGGCAGAGGAATAAATAAGGCTGCTGTTTTTGCTGTCAAACTATCAAATCTGCTTCTTTGTTCCCACGAATCTAATGGCTAACAGTTTTGTCTGATTATTGAAGCAGCAGCTTGCAAGCTTCATTACGTACTTGGTTTCCATATCTTGTTGTTTCTTATTGAAGATGACTATTCTTTTTTTATTAATTTTGCTGCCATCCGTGAAGAGATTAGACTCGTAGAGAGCAAGGTGCAGCCAATCTTCAGATTGATGCTCCATTTTAACATACAGTGATGGATATCATTTGAAGATGACATATACCAATGTCTTATACCAATCACATATGCACAATACAGTTGATTTTGTTTATAATGATGCTGGGTATAATGATAGAAACTGCAAGTTTAAGTTAAAAGAAAATTCAACACTTCACTTGGTATTTATTTATCTATTAAATAAGTCCAAACAGGGACAAAACCCCAAGATAGGACAGTCAAATGTATAGTTCATATTTGCGATGTTTATTATGATGAAGATATTGAACAAAATCAGCCAAGACTCTGAGCCTTGCACAACGCAAGATCCAATTTGAACCTCATCCAACTCAAAAGCAGCTCATCAACACCAGCCATATGTAATTTATGAACCAACACAAAATGGTGTATAAAGTCCTTATAAAGACATAAATTGGTGATAGGTTTTTAAGCCAGTTAATTACAATTTCTTCTGTTAATAAAAAATACATACTATATTCCAGTTTTTTACGTGGAAGTAATAGTCTGATTTTAATGTTTGATACAGTTATAAAATGCATTTGACAATTTCTTTAAAACAAATTATGAACCATGAAAATCAGTCCACAAGCGTTTGAGGGGGTAAAAAAAGAAGTTAGAGCATGCACTAGGAATGTCAGCCAGGCAGAAAGGATATTGACTGACTTATTATCAGTCAAAAAATAAATTTACACAGATTTCCTCAAAAGTGGATATCTAAGAGTTCAATAATGCTAGAATCACGAATCTGACAAGGAGGTCAAGTTTTGACGCATTTTCTGACCTACTCTGCTTACAGAATCGTTTGTTAAAATATGCAACAAAAAGCGATATTTTGTTTATTTATCTCTTTAAATCACATCAAATTAGAAACATTTTTGGTTCTATGTTAACCAAAAATGAAATTAATACACCAAAAATATGTTTATATTTAATTTTATTAAATATATTATTTATAATTAATGAATTATTTTTAAATTATAATTTAATTTTATTTATTTTCTTCCACCAACTTCCCATCTCAACCGCACCTTTGGAATTTTTCCTCCTTTTTGCCATTTTTCAAATGTTGTGTAATCAGATTGGATTCTTGACGACAAAGGAAATGGCCACGGAGAGGTTTAGTGAAGTATACTTCATTTTAAATCATTAAACTCACTAATTTCGTGGTCCGCTTGGCCAATTAATATATTACAATTAATTAAGGTGTTTAGTTGAGATAAAAAATCGAGTTGAGAATCCAATCCGATTACAGGACATTTGAAAAATGGCAAAAAGGAGGGAAAATTCCAAAGGTGCGGTTAAGATGGGAAGTTGGTGCCCGAGTGGATCGAGGTCACGATAGCTCAAGTGGTAGAGCAGCGGCGTATCAAGCCAAAGATCGTGGGTTCGAATCCTGCTCGTGCCATTGATTTTTTTATCTCAACTAAAAACCTTAATTAACTGTAATATATTAATTGGTCAAGCGGACCACGACATTAGTGAATTTAATGTTTTATTTACTTTTTATTAGAAAGTAAGTTTTGTCAAATCCTGAAATCTTGCTTCTTCTTCATGCCCTTTGTTTTCTTTAGAAAAAAGAAAAATTCTATTTATTTATTTTTTAAAGGTATATGATTTGAAATAATATGACCGATCAGATAATTTGTGCTTATTATAATCTGTTAATTCTGACAATGATTTTGAATTCGTTAGTAAGATGATGATGATGACCAGCAAGACGATGCTCAGAAGAATAAAACAATTTCACAAGTTAGTGATTACAAAAAGTTATAATTTTTTTTAATCTTCTTAATTAAATTCTTAATTTTTATTCTATTAATTTTAGTATTTAGAATTATTTATTTAGAAATCGATTAACTGTCACTAATCACCACACATTTAGTATTATATAAATTTTGTTTAATGTAATTGTTCTTATTAATTATAAACTGATTTTATTGAATTGTTTGTTTTATAAGATGTATTTTAATATGTTATTCGTTCTATTTTATTATTATTTTACACCTACATTTTGTTATTATTGTTTTTTACATACAATACATGTAAGTTACATCTCCGTTTTAATAACGAGACTCCTTTTAAACAATACTTATCTCAGTACTTAGGAATGTGTGGACTCAACAATTGCCCCTTCTTTCAATTGTTCCCTCTAGATAAGTTTCTTATTCCTAGTTAGTTACAGGACAGTTAACGGACAGTAAAGATCCGAATATTTAATTGTTATAGAATAATCTAGACCGTGAATAGGAAAGTTATTCTCTGTAACCATTTTGTGTTATTTGGCAATAAAGATTCTTTTTTAAAAAGTCTTTCATCTAAATCTCGCACATAACTTGTATTTATTTGATTAGTTGTTTTATATTATAAGCTTTATTAGAATCGTCCTACACCTAATCATCAACTTAATCTGTCAAGGTGTTTACATCGTTTTTAATTGCGTACATACTATTTTTTTATAGTAAAAATATAAGTTTAAATTATATTATTTAATAATGTCCTAATTATGTGAATAACATTTTTTTTATATCAAAATTTCGATTTATTTTAAGCATCTAAAATTACCTTTTACATCATTGTGATGATATTGTACACAGGATAATATTTTCTTACACAGAAAAAGCAAACATTTGCCAATTTACAAAAATTTATTTAAAGTTAAACAAGCAATGTCAAGACAGCCGCGACAGACACCACATGGAGTCAGGTCAGGAAGTGAGTTGAAATGGGTTGAGACGCAGCTCATCTATGGCCAAATGGCCTTTGTGTTGAAAGTTTTAACATTTAATTAATTATACATTTTAATCTAGTCTTGATTGAGATGAAAAAGTTAGTGTCACGTGTGCAATTTGAACCTTTGAACCTTGGTTGAACCACAACCTTCGGCCCAAAGCCGCTGCTCATGGGTTTGAATCTCACTCGTGAACTTGCTTTTTCATCTCAACCAATGTCTTAGATTAAATTAATTAAAATAATTAATACATCAATTATGACTGCTAAATACGTATATGGATTTATAGATATACATTTTTTTTTTTTTTGGTTTACAATTCTGTATCATGCTCCAGCAACACAAGTGCGCTTGTCAAGCCTGGCAGGAGGAAAAACTAAGACCCTGCAACCGGAATCAAACCCCGACAGCACACAGCCAGCAAGAATGGAAGAGGAGAGAAATTATTTTACTTCTTTATCTTTAGGATTTTCAACATTCACCTCATTGGAGGACGTGGATAAAAATCAAACGTCTAGATAACATGGAAAAGTACACGACCTCAAGGTAACTGGGGCTAACACACCCTAATTCCCCATCCATCGTGCCGACCAGGCCCGATGAGACCAGACCCCAACACTGGATCCTCCCTGCCTAAACCCCACAAACTATACACTAGCGTGTAACCAGTTTACACTTCAATGTTGCATTTATTAATAAATCTAAACAGCAATCTACTTGTTGAGACCAGGGATTCCAAACTAAAGCGCCTTTCTACACCGTCCAAGACTGGATTCCATCAAAAGGGTTTGCCTTTCTCCTTCATATTCCAGACATTGCATTACAATTCTGAGCAATCACATTTAATTCTGTCAAGCTTTTCCTGTAAATCAAGAATACTTCTAAGGCACGAGACATTTGTTGAGAATCATTAAGATGGATTCTGGCTGCCGATACAGGATCAACGTTTATGAATTTCACCCGAACCAAATTGCTTTGCTTGCACTTAATTTCTGCCCAAATTGTAACATCTGCTGAGGTCGAGCAGTTCGGAGTTTCTCTTAAACCTATTCTATATTTATGCATGCCCCACTATCCATGATTGATCGTTATTCTTGTAATAGTGGCATAAAACTGTCGAGAAGCCCTATAACTTTGAAACCAAGTTATTTTTGGTATATCGGGGTACCTTGACTTATCCGCTAATCCTCCTTGTATTCCAGTGTGATAATACTGTCAGAAATAGTTAATATCTATAACTAACGTTTTGAATTAAAATTAATACCTAATTTATTTTTTCAACATTTGATGTCTGACGACCACGAAAGGAGTTGCAAAGGGTATCGCCAAAAAAGCTATGAACATGACAGTCATCCTCGTCGGTCCTCCGAGCGTGAAGGGCAGGTTCTTTTAAACAAAATAAAGAAACATTAATTTTTTTTAAATATAAAAAAATGTTTCTGAAATGATCTTACTTCTCCAGGAACACCCCCGTGGCTTCCTCTTTTCACGGCGGACGTGACGAAGCTCCGGGCCCCGTTGGCAAATCGGGTGGCGAACATTTTCAACGCTTTTGAACGTGCAAGAAAGTACCAAACGATTAAGTCCAGAGTACGAACTACGAAGTACGAAGTTCAAAGATAGACTATCAGAAATGAAAAATATGGACGAAATCGCTGCCCTCTTGATTCGACTTGGTTAAATGACAATTAACCCAAACTTGCCCTAGTATAACATTAAAACGGTAAAATTATTAAATTACTTTATGAAAATAAGACCCAAATTAAATATTATACTATTGACTTCTGATTTGACAGTTTCTTTAATTATAAAGGCAGAGGGATTTACGATTATCTAATCAGTTTTTCAACCTATCACGTGTCATTCCTAGATTATTAGAATTAACCCACTTGTTGATTCCACTGTATTATTTTATAAATAGGAATTAGAACAAGGGAATGAAAGGATGATCAAAGGCTCGAGAATTATGTTCAAAAGAATTCTTCGATCGGCGAACGTCAATCTAATTGACGCATCGAACAGGAGAACAATAACGATCGGGTCGATGCCTGACAAAAATTCACCTGAATATGTTGTAAGTCTGATTTTTAACTATACTGTACATTAAAATATGTAAATTATAACAATTACATTCTTATTTTATAACCAAATATAAGGATCGTAAGTTTGTAAAGTATACACTGATGTACAAAACCACCTTTAAATTGAAATATATTTAGGTTTATTCATGTTTTGCATAACAAAAATAAGATATTTAAGTAGAAATTGTTTATTACCTGTTTCTAAAAAGACAATTATTGAGTAAAGAAAAAAATAAAAGTAAAAAAAAAAAAAAACTTCGTCCCCTAAAAAAATTTAATACAAGGTTAAATGCCTTTGCATTACTTGGATAGGAATAAAAGAGATGGCCACAAGGCCTTCTGCACCTAGAACCTAGAATTCACTGGCCCGTTTCAAGTTATTAATCAGTTTCCATAGCTTTGCCAGCGGTTCCTTGGTGTAGGATCTTGCTTTTGGTTTTTCCTGTCCTAGTTGCAAGAACCTGCACCTACTTAGACCTTCAGAGATACGTAGACTGTGTTCTGCGGTCTCCTCTTCCTGGCAGTATCTGCACAGCGTTTCTTCTCTCTGTATCCTATCCGGTGCATGTACTTTCTTAAGTGGCAGTGCCCTGTCAGGTGTCCAACCACCTAGTTCGGTTGTGGTTGCCTTCCATTAATTCCTTCGTAGGTTTTGGGAATGGCCCTTCTATGAATCCCTTCGCGTGCCTCAGGCTTGTGGTATTGTTCCTCTAGGTTTTAGACTCAAGGATCCATTTGTGACATCCTCTTTTGTGACAAGATGATAAGTTACAGTTTCAGGACCTAGACAGTCCATGTTGGCTCCTCTTTGACCAACTCGTCAACTTTTTTGTTGCCTCTTTTTCCCAAATGCCCAGAGACCCATGTCGACTTCGCAAAAGATTTCTGATAAAATCCAGAGGAATTCTTTCTCATTCATCAAGAACTTCAGTTTCCAATCTTCCAGGTTGTTAGGACCAGAGTTTCGCTTAATGATAGGTAGATACTTTTATTTACAACAAAAGAAAAAGGACTACAATAAAGGAATAAATGTATAAGTAAATACAAACATGGATAAAACCATCAGCCGGAAGTTGTTACTGATATCATTTTTTTCTTTTTCTTAAAGGTGGCCACAAGGCCTTCTGCACCTAGAACTGAGATCTATTGAGCTCCTCTGTTTTTTTTTAATGCACTGGCCAGTTTCAGGTTATTAATCAGCCTCCATAGCCTTGCCAGCAACTCATTAGTGTAGGATCTTGCTTGTGGTTTTTCCTGTCCTAGTGGCAAGAACCCGCACCTATATGGACCTACACAGAAACATAAAATGTGTTCTGCGGTCTCCTCCTCTTCCTGGCAGTATAAGCACTGTTTTTTCTGTCTATACTCTTCTGAACTGTACATTTGCTTTCTTAAGTGGCAACCAGTTGCGGTTGCCTTGCGTAGTTCCTTTGTAAGTTTTACAGGTCAGAATTAGTCCAGGTTTGCCTAAATAATGATCCATTTTAAGATTACCTTTTGTGGCAAGTTACAGTAGGGTTTAGGACCTAGGGAGTCCATGTTGTCTTTGGCCAACATGTCAACCTTTTCGTTGCCTCTATGTCCTGAATGCCCAGAGACCCATGCCGCATTCCCTGAGAAAGAGTTCTGATGAAATCCAGAGGAATTCTTTCCCATTCATCAAGAATCTTCTAGGGTGCTAGGACCTGGGTTTCGCCATCATACTTGTTGCTTAAGTTGGTCCCAAATGTGTTCGATTGGGTTAAAATATGGACTTCGAGCTGGCAACACCAAGTATTCAATTCCAACCTGACTGGCATTATCCTGGATTAGCAAGAATCCCTCACCGATGGGGGAGGGGTAAATGGCACTACTGTTCTTTGTTTATGTCTTGCAAGAGCCTCATTGAAATTAGAGACACAACAGCCAATTCGGTTTGGGCGTCCAATGAAACGCCAGAACATCTATGACCCACCATGGATTATCACCTGAGAAACCATACAGCATGGGGCGTACCTTTCATCTGAAAATCTCCAGACAAAATTACGCCCATCTGAAGATTTGATATCCGTAAAACAAATTCATCTCCAATTCACATGTCCCTGTGTGAATTGAAGCCTGGACATTTTCTGAACTGTGGTAAGAAGAGGTCCACGAGCCGGATGCCGGTCCCTGAGGTTATTTTCATTGAGCCTTCTTCTTACAGACTTTACAGACTTGGAGGAGATCAAAATCATTTCAGACTTGCTTTTTCAGATTTCTTATCTAATTTCTTGCAATACTGCAGTTTTGCAGAGCCTGATGACGGATGAATGTATAGTCTCTCTCTGGTTGGTAGACCTGGCCTTCTAGTGTAAAGTCTTGTTTCTCTGAAGTGCCGAAAAACCTTTCTTATTGTAATTTACACTCAGCCACTGGTTTGTTATTGACCTGAAAGTCTGCAAATAATACATACTCTTATCAGATTTATTACTGTATAGTTTAAAAATAAATTCAGGTTGATCAAATTCACGAAAAAGTAAACAATTTATTAGAAAAAAGTCAACTGGTTGGAAAGAACAGTTCTCCACCTCAATTATTTCTAAGAAAACATCATTGTTACTTTTGATTAAATAGAAATAATATAATAATTTTATTTTAAATTGGTTTGTTTTTAGGAAAATTACAATGGTATGCAAAGTTTAGTAGCTAATCTTCAAAGCCATGTGGAAAAAGCCCATGCTGGAGGAGGAGAAACTGCAGTTAAAAGACATATCTCTAAAGTATGTCATTTAAAAGAAAAAAATCAATAAAAGTAATTTTCTGTCATTAATAAACAAAATCTGCAGGGAAAATTATTAGTGAGAGACAGAATAAACTGTTTATTAGATCCAGGAACCCCATTTTTAGAATTATCTCAGCTAGCCGCACACAACATGTACCAACCTGATTTTGTTCCTGCAGCAGGAGTTGTGACTGGAATCGGTAGGATATCAGGGTAAAAAAAATCCTCAAATTCTGCTCGCAGTTTTGAACTGTTGTTTTTATTTTCTCATAAATTTAAGGAGGGAATGTATGATCGTGGGCAATGATGCCACCGTCAAAGGTGGAACGTACTATCCAATTACTGTAAAAAAACATTTACGTGCTCAGGAAATAGCAGAGGAAAACAATTTGCCTTGTGTTTACTTGGTCGACTCAGGAGGAGCCAATCTCCCTCACCAGGCAGACAGTTTTCCCGATAAAAATCATTTTGGAAGGATTTTTTTTAACCAAGCAAATATGTCTTCAAAAGGCATTCCTCAGGTAATTGTTACTATCAATTTTACAAGTTATAAAAGTTTAACAATATCTGTGCATCTTTTCCATTGGTTTTTAAGTATAAAACATAAATTCAACATAATATTTTCTTCTTATAGCAAATGAAACGATCAAAAGTTTTTAGTAGAAGCTTAAAAGTTCTTTAAAGTTATTTAAATCATAAAATCATCGTGATTTCTAGTTATTAAAAAAAAAAAAAAAAGTTTAGAGATGGTTGATAAAAATTTCCATTGAGTCCATGGATGAATAGAACTATTAACTAAACAAATCAATACAAACTACAAATTGCACAGATTTTTATTATTCCCTAGTAAATAAGTATAAACAAAAAGATAATTTCAAAAAATGTATTTAGATAGCTGTTGTTCTTGGGTCATGCACTGCAGGAGGAGCCTACGTACCCGCCATGTCTGATGAATCAGTGATCGTTCGAAGACAAGGTACAATTTTCTTAGCAGGGCCTCCACTTGTCAAAGCTGCAACTGGTGAAACTGTCAGTGCCGAGGATTTGGGAGGAGCAGATCTCCACTGTGGGTAAGTGAAATATACATTTGCAATTATCATTATTATTATTAATTTTTAAGGGCGTTTTAACGGCTAAAGTCATTTCACGCCCTAACTGATACATTTAAAACATCTATCTTACATTAGCTAAACCCCTTCTGAGTTCTATAAAGCTCTGACTCAAACATTCACTTATAATCTAATTTATTATCATACAAAGCTTTAATGTATCCTTTTAAAGTACTTAATTTGGATATGAATCGGTGAATCTGAAATGTTTAGCATCCGCTGAACCTAAGCTGTGCTCAGGTTTGCAGTCTACGTTAAATAAAATTTGTCGAAAATCAGAGCAAGTAAGACTTATTTTTTCATTTTTTGGTAATAGAAATAGAAAATATTGGAAATAGAAAACCTGCCCTTGCTTGGGTGGGCGGCCACTTCTTTCTTGATTATTCATTCCAATTATTAGACAGTTAAGGTTAATGGTTAAAACAACAAAATATATACAACAAACAAAAAACAGAAAAAATATAATCTAAAATAAATACAATATAATACCCATTACAATAGAATAGATCAGTTATGTTGTTAGACACAGACCACTGATTAATACAACAAAAAATGCAATGTACAATTTAAAAAAAACAAAAAAAAACACCAATATATTTCACAATAACACAACAATATTAGTACTCAAAGTATTTTTTTTTTAGTACTAAATTGTAATGTAATTGTTACTGCTAGGCACAACATGTACACAATGGCCGATGGATGACTTTCCAAATTTGAATTCCGGTGCTGGCCCCTGCTTATCATATTTTAATTATTTATTTATCATCCTCACGATTAATAATTTATACTATTGATAATTTTCTGAATAAAATTGAGAGGGTTTTTGTTTAAGCCATCAAGATTGAAAATCCATGGAGAGGTTTGGCCGTGATTTTGATCAGCATTTTGAGTGTTCACAATTATGTGGAGTTTCAATCTTCATGGAGGTCATTAGACAGGTGAAGAAAGGAAAAGACTAATTGTTGGGTTCACCAAGCTTTTGGCAACTTATAGTGCCATCATCAGGGCTTTCCCAACAGTCCAACCTGAGGCGACACTGTTGCTTGTCTCTCATTAATGTTAATCCTGTGTAGATAGTCTTTATAAGTAGCTTTAATTCTAGTCAAAATATTCTGTGATCATAAATGTTACCTATAAGAAATTGTCAGAACAAAAGTGTTGAACCACAGTCATATGGATTTTTATTAGCGAGATGACTATTTTCACCATGTTAAATGTAATATGCTGGCCATGTGCTTCATAACCTTAAACCCAAGACATTTTTACCATGTTAATCGTTTTTTGCACTCTTGGGAAAGCCCTGATGATGGCACTATAAGTTACCGAAAGCTTGGTGAACGCAACAATTAGTCTTTTCCTTTCTTCACCTGTCTAATGACCTCCATGAAGATTGAAACTCTGCAAGGATTATCTGCAGGTCGATCAACAAACATCATATGTTCACAATTATATGTAAAGATATTTGCAGTGTGGTGGGGAGGGGATAGTCACCACTGTAATATCAAAAATCCTGGTGACCCCCCCTCCCAGATTGTGGATTGTAAGGGTGATTAAGTGTGTTTAGACATGGTCTATACAGAATATTGACTAACAGAACTGTCCAACCAAATTGGTTAACATTAGTGAATGTGTGATTTTGACTCTATGTGAATGTATTTATTGGCATGAATGAAGGGTGGCATCAAGGTGAAAAAAACGCCTTGTTGGTCTCTCAACCACAGGTTTAGACCATACATACATAAGTTTAACATAGTTGTAGAAGCAGGGTCTCAGCAATATATCGAGAACTTTTCTGTCGCACCAAACTTAGGTTATGTAATCATTTAAATAGTATGAATGTGTATTGTAATTTACTTAATCATGTGTGGAAGGGTTAAATATCAAAGATAGAGGTAATAAAAAAATTAAAAAAAAAGGGAGATTTATAAAATGTAAGGAGCCAGCAATGACCTTAGCAGCTAACCTGTCAAGGGGCAATAAAAAAAAAAAAAAAAAAAAAAAAAATTTCAATACTTGTATAGGGTATCAGGTGTTACGGATCATTATGCCATGAATGACAGGCATGCTCTTCACATTGCAAGGGAAATTGTTAAAAGGTTAAATCACAAAAAGCAAGTTCCGGTGGATGTAGCGGATGAAGTCAAACCACCTTTATACGACCAAGATGAGATATACGGCATTGTAGGAACCAATTTAAAAAAAAGTTACGACATCCGTGAGGTAATTTGTAAAAAGAAATTAACATTCTAATGTAACATCAAATAAATCTTCAAATGGATTTCAGGTTATAGCTCGGATTGTAGATGGGTCTGAATTTTCTGAATTCAAAGCAAGGTATGGTGATAGTCTTGTCACTGGGTTTTGCCATTTATACGGATATCCTGTTGGCATTATTGCAAATAATGGAGTTCTCTTTTCTGAATCTGCCCTTAAAGTAAGACTTTTTTAAAACAACATTCTGCTTCATGCTTATTTTCAGTACATTTTGATGATAATTCATTAATATCAATAATTTTAGTTTACTACAATTTCATATCTCCATTCTTCATAATTTTAGACGGGCTGTAAAAATTTAATCAATATCTCAATTAATTGACTGAGTTGTTAAGGTGTTTATTTCTTTAAACAAAAAAATTTGATTTTTTAATCATCACTGAAATGCATGTTCAAATCCCAGCAGGCCTGAATTTGAATAGAAAGCTCTTCCAAGTAGGTTTTTCATTGAAAAAAAGGCCAGAATCACAAGGTTGAAATTTTTTAAATAAAATTATTCAGTTATCTTTTAATATAAAAATTTATTTACAGGGAGCACATTTTATTGAGTTGTGTTGCCAGCGTAAAATTCCATTAATTTTCTTACAAAATATAACAGGTAATAATTACAAAATACATTAAATCTTGTTCTTCATTGTCAAAATTTGTAGGTTTTATGGTCGGGAGAGATGCCGAGGCTGGCGGAATTGCAAAAAATGGAGCCAAAATGGTGACAGCTGTGTCTTGCGCCAGAGTACCCAAAATAACTGTGCTTGTTGGTGGTTCATATGGAGCTGGCAATTACGGCATGTGCGGAAGGGCTTATGGGTAAGATTTGCCCCGAGGGTAATCAAGATAAACAGGCAGGTGTGGGGATTATTAATACCTCTTTCAGTGTGGATATTTTGTTTACTGTTTAATAAATATAACAAATCAGAATACTAGTATAATATGTTTTCTAGTTATTTGTTAAAAAAAAAAAAGTAATTTTCTAACCTACTGAAGGTAGATTCTCTCAAATTTGGGTTTGTTATTATTCTAACACATCTTTTTTTTTCTTTATGTCTTAACCATTTGTGATAAAGTAAGGTTGAATGTACCACACATATGTTAGCATGGTTTGCATTTATTCAAAAAGTTTTGTCTTTAAGGACGTAACGTCCAAAAACCCTTCGGATAAACCAAGGGAAGGCACAAACTTCTTTACAATAGTTTACAATAGATTTCTTTTTCTCAATTAAAAAGCCATGGGATATGTTGGGATTCAAACCCAGAACTGCTAGCAAGGCAAATATGAATCAGATGCCCTAACCACTAGGATGGGAACTACCATGATATATTACTCTCTATAGAAATCCTATTTCAAATGATATATAGCCTGATAATTTCTTTTTCTAACTATTATTTTAGTTCTAATATTTATTTCACATTAAAAAAATATTTTAGTGTTATTAGAATTAATATTTAGATCTACTTTGTCATTTTCAAATTGCTTACTTATAATTTTTGTCATCTTCCATTTATTGCTAGTAAGCTTTTTTTAAGTTTTGGGGTTTATAGCATGTTTTTAGTTGATCTAATAAATGTATATTTACATGAGAAATATTTATTTCATCTTATAATATGATCTAACATACATTAGGTTGTGATGTCACTAGTCAATTTTCACATATCATGAAATTTATTAATCCATTTGGAAAGCAATTGCAAGTTAATTATAACAAGTAACAGTGATTAGAATGAGTGACTAGTTATCAAAGATTGTACCTAACCTTTTATTTTAAAAAAATTGGAACTTTCAGGCCTAGGTTTTTGTACATGTGGCCTAATGCGAGAATTTCTGTAATGGGAGGGGAGCAGGCAGCTGGTGTTTTAGCCCAAGTCGCCAGAGATAAAAGATTATTAAACAAAAAAGAGGTGAGCAGATTACTACTTTAATTTATATTTTTTTAAATAATTAATTAATGTACTTAAACCAGTATTAAAAATGAAAAAGTGTATACTCATTTAAAACATACATTTGACACTAATTGCAGAAATAACATCCTTTACAAAATATCTTGCAATGAATGTAATACAATTTATTTAGGTCAGACCAAAAATTCAGGAAATAAAAATGTAAAATAAGACTACATTAAATTAAGAAATTAAAAACTGTTTTATCTATAGCTGCCAAAACTCACTACGAAAGTATGAATTTAAATAAATAAATAAAAAAAAGAAACAGGAATACACTAACAAAAAAAAAATATCTGGAAGCAATAATAACAATAATAATAATAATAAAAAAATTGGATTTTAGAATTACTGGACTACTATAATTGAGATATTTTAAAAATATTAGATAATAACAATAATGAAAACCAAAATAATTAAATTTAAACTAGTAATAAAAATTGATTTAAATTCACTAATTTCGTGGTCCGCTTGACCAATTAAATCATTACAATTAATTCAGGTTTTTAGTTGAGATGAAAAAAAGTTAATGCTACGAGCGGGATTCGAACCCACGATCTTCGGCTAGATACGCCGCTGCTCTACCACTTGAGCTATCATGACCTCGATCCACTCGGACATCAACTTCCTATCTCAACCCCACCTATGAGTTTTCCCTCATTTTTTTCTCAACTAAAAACCTTAATTAATTGTAATGATTTAATTGGTCAAGTGGACCACGAAGTTAGTGAGTTTAACGAATTCATATGAAGTACACTTCACTAAAGCTCTCCGTGACCATTTCAGTTGTCGTCGAGAATCCAAACCGATTACACGACATTTGAAAAATGGCAAAAAGGAGGGAAAACTCATAGGTGGGGTTGAGATAGGAAGTTGATGTCCGAGTGGATCGAGGTCACGATAGCTCAAGTGGTAGAGCAGCGGCGTATCTAGCCGAAGATCGTGGGTTCGAATCCCACTCGTGCCATTAACTTTTTTTCATCTCAACTAAAAACCTTTATTAATTGTAATAAAAATTGATTTTAATAATTTTACTTATGATTATTTACTGGTGTATTGTGACAATTTAAGGTAGGATACCTTGTTACTCTAAATAAATTAGTATTTTTGATTTTGATGAATTTTTATTTAAGTAAAAACAACTGAACTAGTGCAATTTTTTAAATAATTTTAATAAGATTCAATGATATGTTATAATATATTTACATAAATAAAACTTGTGTATCCAGTTGATTACATAAACATAAATATTTTTAAACTTTTTTTTAACATAAATTTAAAATGGTTTTCACTTTTTAAAATTTATCATTATGCTTTTATTTTATCTGAACATAAAGAAATGATCTAGCATAAAATGTAAAATTGAAAATTTATGTCAATTAAATAACTTGCTACCACTATAATTGTTTTAATCCTCTAAATAATAATAAGTAATTGTAATTTCAGTGGACAGAAGAAGACGAAAAAAAGATAAAGACGCCGATTATAGAACAGTTTGAAAGAGAAGGTGATCCTTATTTCTCAACATCCAGGTAAGTTTGCTTGACTTTATTTCCTGACTAAATGTAAGTTGATTTATACGCGATTTTTAGACTTTGGGATGATGGCATCATTGATCCAAAAGACACAAGGAAAATCTTAGGGCTCAGCTTGGCAGCTACCATGAATGCTCCAATAGAACAAACACAATTCGGAGTGTTCAGAATGTAAAACAAAAATTTGTCATGTAAATGCACAATCCCAATCTCCACCATTTTTGTGCAAAATCTCTATTGCAAGCTTTAAAGTTTTTACTCAAAATTTTTTAGTACCATGATAAAATTATGATTGTTATAATTTAAGAAAAATTCAAGTGCCAATATTATTAGTTATACAATTTTTTTAAAAATAATCTCATTAAGTTTTATTTAACTTTAATTTAACTTATATATATATTTTTGAGAAGATCTGTTAAAAATGATTTATAAAGAAAAACTTGCGAAAAATCGCCATGTTATAATTGATTCTGTGATTTTGGTATACATACTTTGTATACTTAACAATTGAATATAAATAAAATTATGTGTGGCAAGTAAATTTTGCATTTATTTATTGTTCAGTGCAGTTGTACAATTGCTTAAGATATTGACTGTAGTTGACTACATCCTCATTTTCATTCTGGGAGTAGGCCGCACTTAGTATTAACACGTTTGGCACGGTGTTTGCCAACATGGCGAAACAAAGGTTCAGCCAGCCATATGTCTTTACGCCAATCGGCGCACTCAGTTCCGAACTTTTCTCTGCGTTTTGGTGGGGGCTGGCAGTGTTAGATTCTCTTTTACTTCGGGGTTTAGCTACATGGATTGCCCACTTTTCAACTGTATATTTTGTTTCTTCCTCTGACATTCTGTTCTAAAGGTATTGCACATTTATTTTCTTTTTTTTCATATAATTTTATAAGGAAGTAAGTTTTAGTGTATATGTTCAGATATACTTTTATTTTAACCTTATATATTTATATTAGAATTCCAAAAAGTTAAAAAAAAATATTTTTTTAAAAACTGTTTTTGTTTCGTTATTAACGATAATTGTGTGTAACTACATTATAACTTTTTTTAAGGTGGTTCCAGACATGTGGGATTCACCGATGCTGAGTAAAGGTTCGCTGAATCCCGACTAGTGCTTATTCACCGAGCAACAATACTCAGTGCTCGCCATGCCGCATGTCTGGATCCATCTTAAAATTGTACACCCCAAACGAGATAGTAGAACCCCAACCAGGGACATTGAATGCTGGGAACCCAAGAAAAACGAAAGCATAGAAGGTAAACTATATTTTTATCATCTGTGAAGCTTAATATCTTATGGAATTGTCAGAGAGTAATTTTTTTATATTTATTTTGTTTTAGAGTAAAGTATCTTCTTTAATGGATCGAAAAATCAAAAGAAAGGTGAAAAGATTTTGTGCAAAAAGTTAGGTGTCTGCGTTGTTTATGTGTAATGTTTTTTTATGACGTTTTGTGCCTTAAAAATCTTATTTGCTCCCCTTTCAGCCTCATTACATTTTTGTTCACTTTGTTCTATGCTGTTTTAGTGTTTTTTGTACCCATTTTGCCTCTGTATGAAAGACGTTTTTCATTTTGCTGCCAAATTGCTTCTAACCTAGAGTGCTCATTTTCAGATCATGGTTCTTATGCCTCCAATGAATTTGCTTTCAAGAAATATTTTGTTTTGTTTTTAAGTAATATCCATCTCCTAACTACTAGTTTTCCTTACTTCCAATTTCAAACTGGTTATTTCTATCCTTTTACTTCCGCAAATAGCTTTCCAAACAATATTTGCAAGAAAGCTCGTATTTGCTGTGTCAAGATCGCCACTCAACTTATACCTCACTGGTCGCTTGGGACGAACAAGGCGGGAGACAGCACTCAACGTGGTGAGTACTCTTATTTTAAACTATTCCATTTTTTTTTTTTTTTTTTTTTATAGATAATTCAATATATTAGTACAACCGACCAGTGCACGTATACATTAGGATTATATCTTTGTACCATTTTTTCTAAATTTGAATCCATAAAAAAATTGGGTGTGCATGATTTTCAATCAAAATCGAAATTGTCAAAATACTTTTGCCACATCCAGCAATAATAACATAAGCCTCACAAAATAAAATACACTTCTCAGAGAATATAAGCGTAAAAGGGAAAAGTCGTTTGATATGAAAAAGTGTGGTTTGTAGGACTAAAAATATACTCAAAGATATAACCTACTTTTGCCTCAAAGCCCCGACCAGACATGCGTAATTTAATTGCCTTCAGAAACATCACAAATATAACTAGTCATGTTTCCAAAAGTAATTCATTATCCCAAGAAAAACCTAACCGTGAAAAAAAGGGCCAGGTCCTAGACTAGACTCCCCCTCCATAAAAATTATCCCATCAATGTAATGTGTCTACACTATGGCCAAGTCCGTTCTTTTTTTAGCCCCTTAACCTGAGAACTCATCTCACACGAAAAGATAAAAATTTTCGACTCCCTACCAAAAAAGTCAACCATATCAATCAAAGTAGCACTACATTGTGGCTAACTTCACTTCACTCCTATATTTCTGAGCAATGAAGAGTCTGAATTTTTTTTCTTTTCCCCGAGTTCGCTACCTTTCCTTCACCCACCCACGTGTGTGAGCACACATGGTCTTGAATTTTTTAATCCTCATTCAGAAACTGGCCAAGTGTTAATTAAGCAATAAAAATAAAAGAACGAAATTGATTCTTACTTTTTTTACAACATAGGATATATATTTTTCCAAATTTCATGCTTTTAACTATTCGGGAAGTGTCTTATAATTTTGATAACTCTTCCCCTTAAAGTGGCACTAATTTTGAGAAAATTGCAATTTTCAGATTTTTTCGCTTACTTGCTATTCAAAACCTACCTTTTTACTGAATTGCACGATTCTAGCTATTCAGAAAGTACCTTATAATTTTGATGATCAGTGAGTCAGTTATTAATAAAAATGTATATTTTGAAATCCCTATCAAAAAAATTAATATTAAGTTATCAAATTTTTACAATGTCCAAAGCGCCTAAGATTAATATTTATAGTTTTTTTTTTTTTAATTTTTTTTCTTTATTTATTTTTATTTCTTTTGGTATCAAAAAACTATACAGCCATGTTACAAAGAATATATACAATTTAAACAGTTCATATTATATTTTCACAAACACATCATTTAAAAATTTTATTATCAAGATATACACACTGGGATTCTTGAATAGAGCTCCACTTTCCGTAGTTGGGTGTTCTACTCCTTCTTTCTCCAGATCCTGGTAGAATTTATTTCTGGCTGACAAATGTTGGCTGCAGTGAAACATTGTGTGCGTTAGGTCCTCCTTTACTCCGCATGTGTCAAATTACTGTTTTGTTTTATGCCAATCTTGTGAAGATACGCTGCGCAGATGCCATGGTTTGTTCGTAACCGATGTTTGGTGGTTATGTCTTTTTTGCCAGTCTAGTTTGTTAAACCACGGTTTTATTTTCACAAGTGGAAATAATGTTTTATAAGCCATTCCCTTATCCAAGGCAGAATATTCAATTTGCCATTCTATTTGAATTCTTGTTTCCAATATTTGAAAAAGGTCTGTATAAGGGATCGTTATGATTCTAGGGGAGGGTAACTGTGGTGTTTTTTGCAAGTTTGTCGGCTTTTTCGTTCCCATAGATGCCTGTATGTCCTTTAATCCACACGAAAGAGGCCTTTTTTTTTAAAAGAAGAAAGTTTTTAACCGTCTTTTTTATGTCAGCTACAATATAATTTTTTTTTTTTTTTCGTTATGAACTATGCATATTAGCCATGTGACAATTCGTATATGTGTGTTCAAATTTGGTGGGGTTATTGTGAAAAAAGGGCCAGAGGCGACGGTGGGAATCGAACCCACGACTGCGGCGTGAGAGTCTCTCATGCTAACCACTCGGCTACCGCGGTCCCCAATTTTTGGTAAATGTGTTTCGCAAGCACTGGATTGCACTGAGGCTGTCTGTGCAAATTATAATGTGATTCGTTGTAGGAAGGTTGAGTTAAAGAAAGTTAACACTGCCTTAATTGCTAATAATTCCGCTGAATAAATTGATATCTCTGCCGTCATTGATGCTAGGGCAGAACCAGGAGCAATTTTAAAAGCCCATCTTAGCTGTGGGTGAGAAAAACCAGGTGAATTCGTTCCAGTAAAGATACACATGGCAGCTTGCTGGAACTTCGCCAGTGCTCAGATGTGTATATAGTGAGTTGCTAGGATTTGTAAAATGTTATTTATATTTTATGCAGGTATTGATTTAGTTTTTGTTTTTAGAATAATTTTAACTATTGTACTTTTGCATAATTAGTGTTTTAAAATTTTGTTTATTGGTCAGTTTTGTACTGATTTGGGAATAGATAGATTATATAGGAGCAACCTCTTTATGACCTATGCACTGCGACCAGTATTGGTCTATTATGTACCTCCTTTTTTTGTCTAGAGCTCCTTGTTAAACTTAAGGCTTTTAATCAGACCCCAAAGCTTTTTCAAGTGATGTGTATCCCTTCAAGCCCTGGTTTTTCCTCTCCCCTGATTAGGAATCTCAGACTACATAGGCCTTCGCAACAACAGGGCATGTTCCGCTGTTTCTTCTTCTTCTTGGCAATATCTGCACAGGTCAGCAGTATAACTAACGCTGTCCATTTAAAAAAAAGTCCTGGAGCGGCACCCTATTACAATAGAAAGGAAATGTTAATTAGCTTTCAACTAATTGGTCATCTTCCTCTTTGCCCGACCATTTTTGAGTTAATCCACAATTTTTTTTGGCAAAAACATGGTTTTTTACATGCTTAAACCGATCACTCTCTTTTCTGAAAAAATCTATAAAAATTGCAGATATCTGTCAGTAAAAGGTGGTAGAGGTGGTGAAAGGGTCAAAAGAAAGAAAAAGGACACATCACAGGTGTGAAAGTATTAACGGATTTTTCTTCTTTTGAAATCTTCCCTTAAATTTATTTCAGAAAAACCTTGTTTCCTCCCAATATGTCAAACAAAATGTTCCTCTTAGACCCCGAAGAATTCTTTCTGAACCTGTTTGCTGCTAGAGGGTGCCCTTCTGGATCCGAAAATGGTTTTCTGAAGTCTTTTCCCTTCCTATCACAGTATCCATCTTTACAGCAGAAATGTTTGCCATTGTAAAAGCCCTTCAATATATATCAGAGTTAACAGTCACCAAGGCTTGTATTATGTCAGACAGCAAAAGTGCGATTTAGCAACAACTCGAAGCTGGACTAGTCTAGTTACTCTGTGAGATTATTAAAAGAACTTTTGATCTCAGCAGGCAAAAAAAGAATGTAGTTTTCTGTTGGGTACAAGGCCACAGTGGAATAAAGAGTAATGACACTGGATAAATTGGCCAATGCTACTCATTTTGACAGCGTTCAAAGTTTGAAGCTTCCGAAACTCGATGCGCTAAAGCTTATGTGCTTATTCAGTAAACTCAGGATCAAAAAATGGCAGTATATTTATGGTACACCTGAAAATGGGTCTTTCTTCAGGGCCTTATTCCAAAATGTTAAAAAAACACCCTGGTATTCATGTAGAAGGTAGTAAGGGTTTCTTTTCTGTAATTACACAAATCCGAATGACAAAATAAAACAGAAACAATCCCCCAATTGTTCCACTTGTGATGTACCTGAAGATTTAAAGCATTCACTTTTCGATCGTGAGGAATTACACAAAATCAGAGAAACTTTCCTAGCAGAAATTTTTGAATTTAACCCCATTGGCAATTCCTTCAACCTTGAAACAACAACAGCTTCAGAAAACTTATTGATTTACAAAGTGATATTTAAATTCTTAAAAAAATGTAATTTATATATATAAAGCTATCAGTAACTGTAGCACATCCAGAGATGGGCTGCCGTGCTTCCCTGAGGTCGGGTCCATGGTTCGGGGACGCTGGTAGGTCAGTACGGTGGAGCAATAGTTAGTGTTGCGCTACATCTTGTACAATGGCAAGGTATTAAAGAAATAAAGCAAAAAAAAAAAAAATCAGAAAAACCTTTTACTAGTATAACTCGCACTCTTATTCAATTATTCCATTCCATTTCATTCACTCTTATGCTTTATTCACTCAATTGCACTCTCTTATTCGTACTTCACTCCATTCACTGTCACTTACTCAACAAAAACGTATTTCACATATCAAAGAAATATATATTTTAAATGCTAGATATATAACTTGGATTGTTTCCCAGTATTTGCTATTGATTTTTGTAGGAATCTTATTTATACTAGTAGCTGGAATGAAATAATGTCTTATCTATTAGTATTACATATTCATATGTACTGCATATTTTAAGTTGTAATAGCTTCTCGAACTGAGAGAATGGCTCTGCAGTGCTATACCAGTTTTTAGTAGAATTTTTCAAACAACGTCAACTTTATTGCAGGTATTGCCTTCAGACTTTAGCTGATAGATGGAAAACAACTTAGGGATCAGTTTGTTCTTTCTTACCTGTATGTAGAATTGATACTTTAATAAGAAAATTGTACATATCTTGTTCCATGTCCACTTTATCAGAGGTTTTAAAATTACTGTGTATAGGAAAGGCAATAAAATTTATATATATAAAAACATTGTGTTAGAGTTTTATTGTATGTTACAGAAGCATATTTTGTCCACCTAAATTCTCGACTAGCGATTTTAATTAAAAAATACATTTCCGACCATTGTCAGGCAATTTACATTTTACTGTGTTTTAATCATTATTATTTTTCAAATAGATATATATTTTATGAGTAGCTTAGAAGCTTATTTACATACCCAAAGTTTGTGTTTAAATTTTGAAATTCATAATGATAAAATAACAGGAAATAAATGGCTAACTTTTTTTCACACGTTTTATCTATATACAGAAAAATTATCAGATAAATCAGTCAAATTTGACTTATGGAAAGGACAATTTTCCTTCACCAATTTTTTTTGCACACCGTATGCAAAACCCAATTTTTATTTCCAACTAACATAGTCAACATTAATTTATGTATTAAAATTAGGAGTTACATTTCGGTTTGCCTGATTTTTTTATGCGTCACGAAAACAAAATACAATAAATGAAACCACTTTTGGGTGTATATTACAGCAGAATGGTGTATTAAATTATTCTCAAAATTAGAACTTTAATGTTAATTAGTTTGCCCGCAATTATTGTGTCCACCAAGTGTAAAATTGTATGTTAAAATTCACTACGCATTAATTTGAGTATTGTTAAAATAATTCAGTCCAGTGTATGTCATAAAATCACAGCTTTGAAATAAATATTGATAAAAAGCGAATACAGTTAATTATTTACAAAAAGGACCCAGCTTGATAGTCATTAATTTCATTTAATTGTTCTGAATTTCCTTTTGAGACACACAATATTTTGCACTGCGACAAATGCCGGCTGTTTGTAACACTTAGTTCATTTGAAAAAGTGCACACAACAGCAAAAACATCATCATGTAGGATGCAGTTTGCAAGGGGGAGGCATTTCTTTCTTCAATAAGGGTATAAATGAGGTCTTCACGAACCTCTTCCCCTTCTAGTTTTAACTGGTGCTTCTGATCGTGTAGTTGCCTCACTGTAGTGCCGTTATTTTCCAGCGACTGCGGCGATTCCGACCCAAGATCTAGTTTAACTTCAGAAAACAAAATCCTCGTTAAGGTACATATCCAAGACTAGCGTTCCTAGTTAAAAACGAATGCATTTTACACACCTTTGTCAAGAATGTTATCACCTTTGTAATCAACTTTTATATACGATGTGATAGAAACTTCAAAAACTTTGTTCGGGTCCGGTGGTATTGATGGTATTTCTCGTCTTCTCCTACCGAATCCGACTTGTCCATTGCTGCATTCAATCTAAAAAGCACAATCATATTTAAAATAACAGCTTACAATAAAAAATAATTCAATTTTTCTTTTGTTTATTTAATATAATTCAAAATATTATACTCACTCCTCTACATTTATCCAGACAGACATTAACAGTCCCTTTGAACTGCACGTAGGTCGAATCGGGAAACTTAAACGCCCTAAATTTTGCTGTCAAAAAATCTCCATCTACGGTATTGAAGTTTTCGAACAAATAGGGATCCACCGAACAACTGAAAACATAAATACAAGCATTTTTAGTACATACGGAAAATCTTCGGATTAGATAAAACTGCCCAAAATGGTGAAATTTCTTTAATTAAAATGGCCTTTTTTCAACTGTAAATAAATAGGTGGCTCTTGGCCAAATTTAATTTGATTGAAGGCCCCTTCAATAGGCAAAATCAAATGAAATTTCTTATAAGTTTTTAGATAAATGTCACATATAAACTTAACAAAAATTTACTAAGTAACTTATTTATTACTAAATACTTCTAATAATAATTCATTATAAAAAAAAATTCTTTACTACCTTGACAATGTTGACACCTTTAGACTGTTATTTTCATGAACAAAAAAACTTGCGAAATTTACACGCATATTATACAATATTGAACCAACAAACTTCTATACAAAATTAAAATAATAATAATAAAATGGAGACTAAAACAAAAGATTGTGGCACTAAAGGAAATACTTTATATATACCTAAATGAAACTATTGTTACTACTTTATTTCACCCATACAGCATACCTCGCAAAAGAGCAAACAATGTAATAATCTGACAATTGCTTCTTGAATTCTAAAGAAATAATGCATTCATTGATATTGAAGACAATTATTCAGAAATCGGGAGATGCGGTCTGGTGTGATGTAGATTTCAGAAAAACATTTTCTTTACCGCGCCGTTTCGATCTTTATTGAGATCATCTTCAGGGCTGGGGATTTATAAACATTGTTTAAATTTAACAAAAAACATGTAGGATGTGGAAAAAAGTGAATTTATACAATTCAAAAAAAAAACTTTTTTTTTAATATTCAATCAAAGTATTTCTACTCTCTCAAAGTGTTTGTTTTCTGCATAATGTAAAAAATCTGACAATCGCTTCCTGAATAAAGAAATAATGCATTCATTGATATTGAAGACAATTTGACAATGCAACCTTTGAGAAATACTTAACTATAGATGGATTAAAACAATATTTCATGAGGGAATATACCATTATCTACCTCTCTGTATTTCATCCAAATCAAGTTCAACACTACAATCCTTGGAAAAATTGCATGGCGAATATTAAAGCATAACCATGTCTCAGTGATCAAATGCGGATCACGGTGGATGAATTAGGGAGTCAATCTGTCAGTTGTGGGTTCAATTCCCATTGTAGCCCCTGGAATTTCTGTTTCCTTCTCTCACTAACTACTTTTATACAAATTCGCGATGATCAAGTGCATAAATTTATTTCAAGATCAACCTATTAATCCATTTTCCTTTATTTATCCAGATAATTTATAAATAAAAGAGCAGTAGATTTTGTAATGAATGAACAACCCCCGGTATTTATTGGTACATTTATATTTTGTAAATTATCATCCTGCAGTGCATCAACATCATCAAATAGTCTAATTCAAGTTCAACCAATGACAAAAAACAATTGGCAGTAGCAAATGAAAATTTAAGTATCCAATTACATACATTGAATAAGCTTTTAAAATATCATAAAGTTAAGGTTTTAATAAGAATTAATATACCCATTGAAAATGATAGTTTCTTCTTGGTTCTTCGTGTCACTGACTTGCATGTAACTGACAAGTAGGCCATAAACTGGTGCAGATGTTTTATCCAAATAAATTTCCATTTGTAGTGGAGTACCAGGATTAACGTTCAGTTCGCCTGATACCAGTTTACCGGCCTGCCTCACTCCTACTTGAAGCTTCGGCTGTGGTGCTTCTTCAACAAATGAGGATGTTATGTCGAGGTCACTAAAAATAATTCAAAATCATTAAAAAAATAAAATAAATAGATTAACAATGAGTTTTCACTTACACTGGCTCTTGAAATCCTGCTGGCAGCACGTTCCTCTTCACTATCGTGTGATTTCCGCTCTTAAGGCATTTCACCTGAACCATTTCCTTGCCATTGTTTGTTGTTTCAATAATTATTCTGTGGTAGAATGTCCTCAAATTCTGTTGAGAATAGTTTAAGATTAGGGTTTTGTACATTAGTATATGCGGATGATTTTAAAAGAATCTTACAGTGGCTTTGTTTATGATTCTTGTCACTCCGCATTTGTAAAAGTCTTCCAGAGGTAGATTGAAAATTATTTGCCTGTCGACAAGAATAGGCTTGCATGCCGCATCTGAAAAATTTAATAACCTTCAATAAGTTAAAGTTTACATATTCGCATATTTATTTTTAATTAATACAATTACAGGCTACAAAAAAAGAAGTTTAATGATTTGAGAATCAATTAATTTTTATTCCAAAATGTTTTCAAACAGTCAATGTGCAATAAATTGCAAATATATAGTTATTGTAAGAAAAAAATATTAAATCATATATCTCAAGTCTGTTGTCTTATTACTAGTCATATTGATAACTCTTTTCTAAATCTAGACTCTAGATTCTAGAGTATGCCCACAGAGAAAAAAAAGTCGCCTGCGTGGGTTTTTATTTTACAGATTTTTTAATTAAGCCAAAATAGAAGGAACATAATTTTGTTTATTATTCTGAAATTGTGAGATGCGGTCTAGTGTGATGTAGGTTTCAGAAAAACATTTTTTTATCGTGCTACGTTTCGATCTTTATTGAGATCATCTTCAGGGTCTGGGATTTACATAAATATAAATTCACTTTTTTTCACATCCTACATGTATTTGTTAAATGTAAACAATGTTTGTTTCCCCGAAATCCCAGGCCCTGAAGATGATCTCAATAAAGATCGAAACGTCGGCACGATAAAGAAAATGTTTTTCTGAAACCTACATCACAACAGACCGCATCTCACGATTTCGGAATAATTATTGACTAACGGTCACTAATCACCACACATAATTTTGTTTATTTTTCACAATGAACGTTTGTGTCATATAAATGCAGAAGTTTTTAAATATGGATTTTTGTTTACAATGAATTTATCTTTAAACTTTTAAAATAAACATTACGTTGTTTAGCAAGTAATGTTTTGAAAACTATTTTTGCTAATGATCATTTGTGTGGATATCTCTTGTTAACGACTTTTCTAATTTCTTTAATTCACATTATAACTAAAGCCTGACTATTTATTTGTTTAAATATCAGTGTAAATTACATTTAAATTGGTAGAAGAAACAGAGTTTATTAAGACTCACCAGGAAAATACTTAAGCCCTTCTAAGTAAATAGCGTTCATGTCGTCCATCCGCCGCAGTTCAACAACCATTTTCGAATCGGAACATTTCACCTTGTACTGGACTGTAAATAAAATAAAATAAATTAATAAATTAAAAAATTAAATAGCATTAAAATATGTACTATAAAGGTATAACGATAAATCAATTTATCATCTTTTAGATAAGTTTTTATCTATGATAAAAAAACCAAAACATTTTTAGCATCCATTTTTAAATAAAGACATGGATGGTACAATAAAAGAATCTATGTTGGAGTAGGATTAAGTTGAATTTGAGTTCTAGAAAATATATCTAACTAAGAACCAGTATTATATTTTAATAACTATTACTTAAACAATTGAATATTTATATCAATTGTATGTATTTTCAAATATTTCTTCTTGGGTGAAACTATTTTTTTTTCTTGCTTTTTAATTATAGATTTATTTTCAGAAAGAGTAAACATTTGTATGTAAATGTATAAAGATGTAAAAATCAGTTTTGATGTATTAGTTAATTATATTTGATATAATAGTTCAATTTTCAGAAAGGAATTTTTTTCTAGAATTATCTTCTCATTAAATTATGATTTTTGAGAGATATATAATTGAACTTTATATAGAGGGCATATTTTATGTAGCATTGACAGATATCTTTGTTTTGTGTTCCTTTTGTGAACCGCTGAAAGCGAACGAATTTATTAGCGTGAATGTGTAGTGTGAACGGGTCGATGGTGGAATATCGAGTACCTTGACCTTCCCTCATTTAGATCAGTCGAGTAATACGTTTAGAGATAGATATCGAGATAGCGCTTGAGGAATATCAAGCACTACACTACCCTAATTGAGGGAATGTTATGAAAATAGGAAAGAATTTATTTAAGAATGAGAGTGTTGAGTGAGTCTAGGTTTAAAATCTGCATGGGTTGGAAGCTGAACTTGATGTAGCCACTAAAGCTCAACTTTGCAGGGGGAAGGGATAAGATCGAGGTCTGACCCCAGACTGTCAATACCCTTGCATATGTGTGAAGTTTAGTTTATATGAGCCAATATATATTACAATACACATGTGCGTGCAGTTATTTACATTTTTATTTTTTAATTTCGGCATGAATTTATTCAATTTAAGGTAATTTCTACAAGGATAGACTTTCGTTATAGATAAAACACTAGACTTAAAGTCTAGTTAAAACTTTAAGTAAAGCACAGTGAAAGTTAAAACTATCCAAACTTCGCTGGAGCCTATAGTTTCAAAATTTAGCGTATATGTTACATCATCAACTACAAAAGTGCTCATCTTACGTGTTATAAACGTGGTGGTAAAGTTTCAAATGTTTTAGGAAAATATCTGTAGAAATAGTAGGTGAGAGGTTTCCACTTTTTTGAACTACGTCTTCAACCTCATCCGACGAAAGTTTATAGTATCAATTCAAGGAATAGAATCACGGGTTGGTAATATGGCTACTGGGTCCGACAAGGCTCAGTTCTGGGACCTTCTCTGTTCCTCATTTGCATTAATGATATGCCCGAAACCCCTGGTGTTGAACTGGCCCTATTCGTGGATGACACTGCACTCTACACATCATGTTTTTTTTACAAAATTATATATATTATGCAGGGCGGGTGACCAAGACCCGAGGGGTTAAATGCCTGGGTAGACTCGTACCCAATCCCTAAATTTTTACAAAATTAAAAAAATTTAAATATGTCAATCTGTAGACGTATTAAGGTTGTTTTGTAAGTTATATATAGTTATATTCATTGTTAAATCAAATGAACATATATGTTTTTCATAATATGAAATTAATAGGGCCTGATGACCTTAAAATAGGTCGAAAGCTTGGCATTTGCAACTAAATTTGCTTTCTTTTTCTTCATGGCCATAGCTTGATTCAGTGTTCGTGAGTGAGGGAGTGGTCCATACTTCTAATATCGAAAATAAAAAGGTGACAAAACATCTAGTGTGTGGTGTAATCGGTAATTATTCAGAAATCGTGAGATGCGGTCTGGTGTGATGTAGGTTTCAGAAAAACATTTTCTTTATCGTGCCAACGTTTCAACTATTATTGAGACCATCTTCAGGGCTCAAAGTGTTTGTCTTGTGTGTAATTGTGCCATTCTTGCGTGTCGTATTGCTCACTAATTACAACAATGATTAATGCAACACGACACGCAAGAATGGCACAATTACACATAAGACAAACACTTTGAGCCCTGAAGATGGTCTCAATAATAGTTGAAACGTTGGCACGATAAAGAAAATGTTTTTCTGAAACCTACATCACACCAGACCGCATCTCACGATTTCTGAATAATAAAACATCTAGTTATTTTTTTGTTAAAAAATTCCACCCTAGACGAAAACTAATATTTAAGATATTACTTTCGAATGAATACTAAATTAATTTATTACTTCTTAGAAATAGTCCTATTGCATATTCACCTATCTGATGTAGATAAGTTAGTTTCTAAGGCGCGGCTTCTCTAATTTACCCGTAGCCCCTCGACCTTAGGCACTTTTCTTATTTATGAAGAAAATAAGGTGCTGGTCTATTAAAATAGTCATTTTGCGAGCTAATTGGTCATCACCGGGGCGAAGGTTGCGTATGTCTCCTAAAAATTAAAGTCCAATTTTCCAATAAGAAAATCTCTAGTGATACCCAGGATTGAAAGCTATACACAAGAAGAGTAGAACAGACAGGTGCCCTTGGGCGGATAGACGGCCGGATGATGAAACGATTCGATCCTTCTTTCCCTTCTGTAAAGGTCTTTCGTCAATCCCATAACAACAAAAAAATGAACTTAAAAAGGGTCGTTAAACAATCACTTTCATAGTGGCCAGGTCCATTGGTCCACAAAACGTTCACAGTGAGAGTTTTTGTGTTTTTCAAGATGGTCGTTTCGATTTTTTCCTATCTTAGATCGCTGATGCGTGCTCTGTTATAATTCTAGACAAATGTTATGCTACACTTTATTATGCAATTTATAATTTTTTTGATAATTGCCATTAAAAAATCTGTTGGGAGAAACGACAACGGGCTTGGTCCAATGATTCTGTCTTGTTCGATAATCATAAAAGTACTAAGAATCTTACTCGAACGAAACTCCTATTAGATAAAAAGATTAGGTAGAAAGGAAAGTCGAACATTTTTTTTTAGAAAGACGACAGTTTGTGTAGTTTTATTTTCAAGAGCATCGCGTCCGATATAATTAAGTATCACTGTTAACCTTTATTATACTTTTATATTAAAGGTAATATGTTTCAAAATTGTGAATAGACGTTCATATTTGTCAGCGTTTTAAATTATTAATTAAAGTTTCAGAGTGCTGATGAAAAGGATATACATATTTCTCGGAAGCTTGACGAATGAATTATTCATCATAAGAGACAAATAACACTCAATAACACCGCGATAGAAATCGAAAAAGAATTCGAATATCTGGGCATCACACTAGATAAAACACATTTAAGAAACACATCGGCTCTACCTTCACGAAGGCGACGCGAGCTTTGATGGTGTGCAGAAAAATAGCAGGAAGGAACTTCGGATGCAGACCGGAAACCCCGCTAAGGATGTACATTATGATAGTAAGACCTTTACTTAAATACTGAGCTATAACCTGGGCTGTTAAAGCAGAACAAGTAACTAAAAGGAAAGAACTCACAAAAATACAGAGATTTGCATGCATCTGCATAACGGGAGCAATGACATGTCCTACAATTAGCATGAAAAATGTACTGGATTAATCCCCCTACACCACATGGTAAGTAAACAGAAAACCATTAATTTTACCAAAGAGAAACCTCCAATAGGAATAAAACTAAAATGGAGAGATAGCAACAAACTGGAAAGACCATCCGATACTCATGGCTCCGAGAGATGACATGAACAGGATGTTTGAATTTAACCAAAACTTCCGAATAAACCTAGGTACCAAAAAAGAATAGGAACGAGAGGGTAACACCTCTTTTAAAAAAGACACCATCCTGTGGTACACAGAACTAGAACACACGAAGATACAGGGTCAGGAGTATTTGGACCTGGAACCAAATACTCAGAACCCACGGGAAAATACACCAGTTTATTCCAAGCCGAGATTCATGCAATCGAAAGATGTATCCAATTCAATGTAAGTAAAGGATACAAAAACAAGAATATAGCTATCATGTCAGATAGTACAGCAGCCATCATAGCACTAAGCTCAAGTATCATTAGTTCAAGGATGGTGCTGAACTGCAAAAACAAATTAAACACACTAGGTATACAGAATAAAGTCAGCCTCTGCTGAGTCCCAGGACACATGGTAGTAGAAGGCAACGAGAAAGCGGACACCCTTGCAAGACAAGGAGCTGCTACACCGCTGACAGGACCTGAACCCTTCTGTGGCATAGGAACCCACACTATTAACGAATATCTCAGACAGAAGGGCAAAACGAAAATGAGGAAACTATGGAATGCACTCATTGGACACAGACAATCCAAAAATCTTCTAACCAATTTCGGAAGAAAAGAAATTACAAAATGTGTCAAGCGAAGCAGGAATAAACTGCGAATACTAATAGGATTCCTAACAGGACACTGCAAAGTAAACGGACACTTAAAGAAGATTGGAATAATCCAAAATGGCACATGCAGATTCTGCAAAGAAGCAGAGGCACCAAAACATCTACTAACAAACTGCGGAGCTGCACTAGCCCGCAGGAGGAAATGTTTTGGGATGTTCAATGTGACCATAGAAGAGCTTCAACCATTGAAACCGGGCCTATTAATCAAGTTTCTCGATGAAATAGGAGGCACCGACGTGCTTTAGGCAGAGCACGGGGGATACAAAAGCTCTTAAGGGCGCAGTATACTATACCCTGAAATTATATCTACATCTACATCTACATGAATTATAATTTATTATCATTGTTGTGTATGAACTATATAAGGAATATGAATGAATTGTCAGGTATTGGGTTGGTGCAAAATTAATGCAGATTTTGAAAATTTTGTTTTATTTTCGCAGGTGTTAGTCATGAAAACAAAGCTAAATCCTCAAATCTAATTTATGGATTATAATAAATACTTTTACCTGTTCT